CGTGGGGTCAACCTTTGGGAACTCCTTAGTGTGATGAGCTCGCCACCCCGCATAAGGTAGATCTCGGTTTCTTGGAACCATATAGTACCCATTTCCTCCGATGACACCCCAATTCTTGATAATTGATGCTTTAGAAGCTCGATTGTTGAAGATGGCAGCAATGTGCACGTGTCGAACTTTTTAGTCGTCGTGGTTAGGTCTTGTTCGCACTTCAACTCCTCCGATGAGAACATACTTGAATTTTCCGGCTCCATGGGCTTCGTCCATAATTGCTCCAACCAAGTCTCGAAGGTATTCGTCTGATTGGACGTTGATTCGGACATCCCACTGACGGTCTTCTTGCTTGTAGGACACTGTGTTTGACATGGATCAAATTGGATTATGGTTAATCACTCTTGTCTAGTAGCTGACACTCCATAGTCTTCATTCTCTTGATCATCTTGATGTTTTCTTCGTGCAACGTTGCTTTTTCCTTCTTCCACATTCTTTTTCCACCCTTGAGACGGTACACTTCATTGTTGATCACAATCCGTTCTTCCTTGAGTAGCTTCAATTCTTCCATTGCTTCTTCATATTCTCCCTCCAACGTCGTCAAGTGATTGTTTTGCCAATGCAGGTGATCGTGCAGAGTGATGATTGTTCCTGTTTGTTGACTTGATAACATCCTCGCTGTCGTCATTTGATTGGTCAATTCCTTGTTCTTTCTTGTTACAGCTCCATTTTCCATCGCCAGGTACTGCGTTAGTCCGTCCTTTTTGGGTAATGACCTTTCTCTTCTTCTCTTCTCATTTCTTCTATTGTTCTGATTAGTTCACTTCTTTTCCTCTTCCTTTATGGTCAATAAATTTGAAGTATTTTTGTCAATGTTGCCCAAAATATACATATATTTAAACACACCCAGCACATTAAAATGTCGACAGGGCATCATCTACACTAGTGCCCGGCGCAAAGTCGGCAGTCGGCACATGCAGGTAGAGGTAGATAGAGACCGTCCGCGAATGCGCTTTTTGGCGGGATAGAGAGATATGCATGTATGTGTGCGATGTAGTGAGTATCTAGAGGCTCCGATAAATACAGCCTTCACACCAGCCACCCACGTTTCGGGACTGGTAGGCCAGTATGGCATAATGAAAGATAGAATGCCTCCGCGAATGCGCTTTTTGGCCTACCACCTAACTAGTGATGTATGTATGTGACCTACTGAGTAGCGCTGTGCATATCTAAGTAGCGCACTCAAGCGAGCCGCGTAAGGCCGAGCATGCTGGCCGTGTCGGAGGACAATATAGATTTCAAGAGAATGTAACGGACACAAATTCAAAAACGCTTTTTTTTATTTATTATCCGGGACTTCTCATTCCGAAACAGGACGTTAAATATGAGTCTTTTTGCATGCACGTTTTTCTAGCTGTTGCAGATTATAGAGTTGAAAAGGTAAACAGACCCCTTTAAAGAAAAACCGTTTTGCCTACAAATTTCTCAACGGTTTCTCGGGATAAAAACGTGATATCGGTCCCACTTTTTCGAAATCCGCAACATATCGGCTCAAATTAGCCAGTCCAAAACAGGTTTTAAACTGATGAATTAGGCCGTATTTTACCGAAATCCGCAACCGAAACAGCATATCGGCCCCGATATTTCAGACGGAGGATAAGGCCGCGTTACCATGGTCATTTGGTGCCAAAATATTCGTCTTTTCATTGCTATTCACCTGCTACAAATGCTATTGACGTTTGAGGTACCAGTCAAAATGTTCAAGCAAAAAAGTGTTGTACCTTTCATTTATGGCCAGGACTGTAGTAATAATCAATGCAATTCACAGTCAGTTCGAAATTCATTGAGTTTCACCCTGATAACTAAAGGGATGTAGTTGGTTAAAGAAAGACAGATGCAATGATTGTCCCAAATGATTACGGAACAACAGTTCCACTGTTGCAGCGAGGGAATTTGTCTGAACTGATCACATTGGGCGGCATGACTTGATTCAAGCGCAACCAACGGAACTACAGCAACAATTGTCTTGCCATGCAACACAAATTGCCGACACCAAGAAAATCATGGAACTTGCCATGGCCGGTGTGGAAAATTGCAACGAAGCTGGTTCGTCCTGCTACAGCCATCGCCATATATGCATTTGTTTCACTTAAAAAAGTAAAGAAAATTAATGGGAAAATCCGCTCAAGTTTTTTTACTTTCAGAAAATAAAACTCTAATATATTTTGCTCAACCATTTTTTTATTTTTGAATTTTTTTTGAAAGCACGTCCTTGTTCGTAAGAATTCCACCCTGCTCCCCATGGACAATAGCGTCGCTTTGGCTAGCGCGGACACCTCGTCACTTGGTGGGGGTTGGCCTTGGAACTGTTAATCAATGCATCGCATCGCACGGATTATCATCGACTCGACTGCTCCGTGATTGCTGGAGTGGTAACGGCGCTCATGCCAGGGTTGCCAATTGTGACAAGGTTTCACGGGACGATTGTCCATCTAACGTAGAGGACCAATTTAAGGTGCACTTAAAAGTGACCTTGTTCGTGGCCCTGGACCGGGATTTGAATTCTGAACGTTGCTGGGATGAAGTTGAAAGATTGGCCTTATTCTCTACTACTACGTAGTATTCAATCGGCTTGAATAGAGTTCATCTTGGAGTTCACCACCAAGGCGCCTGCGACCACCACGGCTGCCTATTAATTTACTCAGATTTTCACTCTACTGTAAAACAAAATAGGTGGGACGGTTTATGGTGCACAGGGTTTCGGGGCTTCTGAGAAGATGGGCCCTTTTACTAATACGAAACTTTTAGGTATATACTATAGCTAGTTAAATCGGCAATGATATACTATGTCTTGCAAATGTAAAAGCAAGTTAAAATATGTCTCGGAACGTTTCAAGAACTCGAAAAACAAAAAAAAAATGTTTTTAGGTTCCTGTATAATTTATTTCATACGAATTATATAAAAAAATATGCGGTTATAGTGCTTACCCTTCGCACATTCTTGAATTTTCATGTCGAGTATTTAGGGTGGTTGATACATGAATAGATGCGCGAACACATGAAAAGTTACTGATCCGTATAGCTGATTTCGATGTCGTTGGTGCGCAATAGAAATAAAAAAGCTTTAGCAGGCCGGTTTAGCAAAGTTTTTAATGCCCACCTTATAAAATCAAATTCGACAAGTTATGGCTCTAGTAAGTGCGAGGTTTTTTATAAAAACTTGGAATAGGTGCGAGTCATTTTGCAAAACATATATGCTTCAAAGGCTCAAATAGATAAATGTTGATAGAAAAGGAATATCGATGTATCTATTTTTGCAATTTCCTTGTCAACGCATGCCATTGAAATTTGAGTACATGCTCGTTGGATTGAAATACTCCAAGCCCTCCTGAAGTGTCATGTCGGATAATTCAACAATTTTTACCATGCAAATTTTACTATACTAATAAGTGCGTGTCGTTAGATGAAATTTGTAGTAAGTACTTCGTGACTACCTACATGATATTTGCTGGCCAGGTGATTATAGATCGGTCACGTATCTGTATGATGGATGACCTAGGTGATGATCACTTAGGTTGTCCTGTTAAGTATCTGGCAGCGATCGCCCTGCTAATGTGAAGCAGTTTTGTGTACAATGAAATTCCTATTTCAAGTGGCACACGCGGGTCCCCTGAAGTGGTGGAATGCCTCCTGCTGTTTTCACCAATTATATATATGTTGGTTTCGGGGTTTCAATTATATATATGTTGCAATATTTCATACTTCTAATCTTTATAAAATAAATAGGTCATGAATTTTTCGTCCGACTCAAGAGCCTCAAAGAGCATAATGAGAAGGTCTTTGCAGAGCTGGAGCTCATGCATATAACCGTGGACCATTTTGACGAGCGAAAACAAGGCCTTGTGGACCCGGAAAAACGCCTCGCGACTCGGCTTTTTGAAAAAGTCGAACGCCTGAAGACACGCATGCGGGACGTGGAGGCGACTAAGGAACGCAACGCATTTTCCTTCTACCTCAAGGTTGATGGGCGAATTGAAAACCCTTATCCACTGTCTAAAATATCGGGGCCGATATGATGTCTGTACAATGCAGCCCAATTCATCACGTTAAAACCTGTTTTAGAATAGGTAATTTGAGCGGATATGTTGCGGAATTCGAAAAAGTGGGGCCGATATAACGTTTGTATCCCGAGAAACCATTGAGATATTACAGGCAAAATGTATTTTTTAGTGGTCTGTTAATCCGCAACAGCATGAAAAACGTCAATAAGAAAACCCAGTTTAATCGTTCGGAATCCGCAACACACGCAAGACGTTTAAGACCCCTATATGGGCCTATAATACCTGTTGCGGAAAGAGAAACCCGTATAATATATACACCTTAAGCGTTGTTCAATTTGTTGACGTTTTATTCTGTTGAAATTTATATTGTCCGCCGACACCGCCAGCAGACTCGGACGCCAGACTTAGGCGGCTCGCATGAAAGCGCTATTTAGATATGCACAGTGCTGCTCAGCAGATCACACACATACATCATTAGTTAGGTGCTAGGCCAAAAAGCGCTTTGCGGATGCATTCTATCTTTCATTATGCCATACCGCCGAGTTCATCACCGTCGCTGCGAAGATGTCTACTAGGTGAACTTTCGCCAAACCTTAGCCGTTGCCGTGCGGAGAATTGCCATGCCCTGAGCGTCGATCATTGTCCTCGTCACTTGAAGGATAGCTACTTGGAGAACCCCTGTCATCTTTACCGCCGTCGCTGCGCGGAAAATATTCGCCCACAGAAGCACCACCGCGTTCATTGTCCTCGCTGGGAGGATATCCTCTGGGCGAACCCCTGCCACGACCTTTGCCGTTGCCGTGAGGAGAATTGCCATCCACTGAACGTCGATCATTGTCCTCGTCGCTTCAGGGATTGCCACTTAGAGGTACCCGGGGCTTCGGGATATGAGAGGAGGTGCGATGCGATCTACAGAACAGAGGAACAATTTGTTTCCAAAGGGGTGAATTCAAAATTAAGCAATTACAGGAGCGCAGGAACTTTCACGCGTAGCGTCACGGGGGTTAGGGGGCGGGAAACCCGGCAGCAATGGTCGAGGACCCCAACAGATAGTTTTCGCGCGCCTGGAACTGTCGATGGGACCCCAAAATACACCCGGCGGACGTCGCACCACACAGCTAATCCGACACTTTCAGCCGCCAAGTTCGTCCTTCTCCAGGCATTCACGCCACGGCACCACCACTTTAACCCGCTGGGCATTATTCATGTGCTTCGGTACCAAGCAATGCATATATCTGATTAAGAAGTTGGATGCACAAGGATATGTTTAAACGTTATATGCCTTAAGGTCTGATTTCGTGTATGGTTCTCTGTGAATATTAACACAACATAGTCGCATCGAGCAAACGCCACAATGCAATGTACATGAAATACTGAAGCATGTTCCTGCTTCGCCGTCGTGTTGGAGATGAATCAGTTTCCGTCGACAGTCGTTCTTGTTTATCCACTCGGCAACGCCGTTCATCACGCCTTATTGGGGACTTGCTTGAAAAAACAAGCTCGCAACGACGACCGAGAGCACAGGCGATTGGCCACTGCCCCCTCATCCTGATTCTTGTTGCAGGTTGACAATGGGAAGAGAGGGCCTCGGTGAATGGCCAAAGAAACCGACGGGATATCGTTGCAGTGTCCCAGGAGTGACGTGGACACTGCAACTTGGAAATTCGCGCGCCGCCCATCGTTGTACATTGGTGATTTTCACATGTCTGGTGGCATCTCCAGCGAGCTCGATACAGTCGATTGGGCTACTTTGACTTTGCAGGTACGCTCCCAACTTCTCAACTTCGGCCTTGGAATAGCAAAACACGATCCAATAGATCTTCAAACCAGTAGATGACTGGCTTCCTGTATACCTGCCATATTTCCAATTTGATCATGTCAATTCGGAAATAGTTATACAAATAATCAATACAAGGGACTTCATGAAATTACCTTGCAAAATATCAAGAGCAATGTGTTTGTGTCAAAAATCGTTAGTTTCCGAAATGACCAAGTTACTGATTATTTACTGGACCACTGATCAATAACATACTTGGTGAAAAAGTCAACGAATTTAGACGCTAAGCTATTAGAAGCGCATAACATGAACAGCATCCATAGCAGCACGTTCTTGACGGTTTAACCGATAACGGCGTTGAGTTTCTTGATGCTTGCGCTTCTTTTCATTCGCCATACGTTGGTAGCAAGCGAGTACACGGCCATAAAAGTCCTCGTCATCATGGCGCAAGGGTAGCAAGGACAAGTGAAAGTTTGTCAACGCAAACGTAACGCGCTGGATCGCAGAGTAGTTTCGCTCGGACCACGTGTACGTGGCGCAGGATACGCGCCAGAGGGAGAACACCACACTCGGCCGAAGAAGTTTTCCACGATCACCCGATCCGAGGAGACGTTTGCATTTCGTTCCAAGTCGCTGGCATCAAGAGAACCATGGGCGGGACGACGCTTCGGGTGGATGCCACGCAATGAGTGGCTAATTCCAATGTAGCCCATGTCAACAAGACAAGCCCACGAGCCACGATGCAGGGCAGCCTGCTCTCCATGGTCCGGCACAAGGGACTCGGAGGCCGACTTGCCTAAGTTGGCAAGGTGGACATGTTTGCGAGAGTTCATAATGGTAAGGTCGTGCAGAGATCCAGGGTCGGCAGTAGACATGGCAACACATCGGCCATCTGGCGACACAGCTGCTTCGATCTTGTAGCCGTACAAGTGGTGTTTACCACTAAAGTAGTGCTTCGGCTCAGCAAAGCGACCTGGCAGGTCGGTTTGAAGGTTGAAACTTGACGTCTACAGCATAGAGAGCGTATGTAAAGTGGGCAAAGCGCTGACCTGCCTGGGTGAGCTCCGCCATCGTCACTGGATTGATGAAACGTCAATTAGCCGCTCTTGCGGCCTCCCCATGGGTGGTGAAGGAAGCCTCGAGATACGACCGATCACGAATGGTCTGGTCTTGGAGGCGATTAAGGACGCGTTGGCGTTGATGGGCATTGCGATGCAAATTCAATTGTGTGGTGGGCAAGAAGTTGGTTAACTTGCCAACCTGACGGGCATTTTGATTCATTTTGGCGGCAAACATGTAGTTATAGGGGTTGTTGAACTTCAAGTTGTTTAAACAGCTATGCCAAATTTAATCTCCTTATATAGTACATTTTAACGAAACTTTCGAAATCTCTGCAATTGCAACTTTTCGTCCAGCCTCTACATGAAAACAACTCATTTTAGATAATTCTGTTGGTCACGTTTACATTCACGTTTAATTGATATAGCATGTCACAGTAGTGGTAATGATGCGGCGTTGTTCTCAAGTACATGCTACATTCAGCAAAGACTGGTAGCATCAATCTGAATGGCAAAGCCCACTGCACACATAGATGCCCTTATGAATATTCGTTTGCATGTATTTAATCGTATTTTTGCCTTTGGCACTTCGAGATTGAGGAAGATATTTGAGGACCTCGTAAATCGGATTAGCAACACCATTACTTCCCAATTGCCAAAGTAAAACGGATTTTTGTCATACTTCAAGTCAGACATACACCAATTGATCAGTTGTTCAATCTATGACCAAGTGATCGGTTATAATGTAGTAAACAACCCCTATTATATACAATATATGCCTGTCAAAGAACAGTAAGGCATTAATTCATCCCAAGATCTTATGCCTTGACTTGTGTTCGTGTAAAAACCGCTTCAATTCCAGGTAAATGGCTTCATCCAAGTCGTCAACATGGCGCACTTGGTATCGGATGTTCGGCCTCCAGGTTGGCATACGAATGATCTCAAAGCGAAAGAGGGGGAACTTACTGAGCACTTAGTCGACAACGGACGGGGCGAGGGACGCCGAAAGGCCAATCAGTGGAACACCATACGCCGTCAGATTGAAAACGCCAGACATTGCCTGATGACGAAAGTCGGTCAAAACCAGATGGATTTGATATAATAGGGTGCCAGACATTGCCTGATGACGAAAGTCGGTCAAAACCAGATGGATTTGATATAATAGGGTTTCGGGGATTCTACATCACTAGTGAAAACGACGGCCTTCTCTATGTCGGTGTCATGATGCGTAGGTGTGTGCACCGGTACTTCAACAGGGACGACTGTGGACGATTGAAACCAAAGTTCTTGGCATTCGTCACGAAGTTCCACGTGGACAAGCTATGTCTTGTTTTTACCCAAGTCATTGCGACGTTAACTTAGCATTCGTTACGAAGTGCCAAGTTACGTCGCAATGACTTAGGTACGACTACATGCCATAGCTTGTCCACGTAGCATGCCACTTCGCCTAGATGGTTTCATACAACTCCATGGGAGACCGAGATGGCAGCACATACACTGAACAACGGTGTTGAAGTTGAACACCGAAAAGCGGTGGGTTCTTGAGCACACCAACACCTCGTATGGAAAGGTCCATCTTTGTCCGTGAGACGAACAGAACAGCTGATATTTGGATGGACCAAATGCTCGAATCACTGTGCAGCACAAGCGATTCGCTAAAGTTGCTTCCAGTTCGAATAAGCGATAGGTTTCTTTCGCCTGGACGATGGAATCGAAGAGGGAGATGCAGACCGTGCACAGCACCGTGGGATGGTTAATGAACTGCGTCCCATCCTACCAGGTATTCAATACCTTGTGTGCTACTTCCACGTCATGAAGAAGGTACTTCTAACACTATTGAATAATTATAGACTGATATTTTGGCAATTTGTACTAGTACTAGGAGAAGCGAAATGGTTTATCCTGGGCGGAATGATGCGAAGTGTCGTTTGACATTTACATGTTACACATGGTGGAAAACTACAACCAACTGATTCAAGAAATGCAGCGGGTGCATCAAAGGTGGAGTGGTTATCGTGTACACCGCAAATTCAGTACCTATTTCTTCGACAATTGGCTGCCTTTGGTAGCCCCCTACAGCCGTGACAACGAGGAACGTTTCTGGAAGTGGCAAGTGTAACACAGTGACCTGGAACGCCCCTTACAAACAACCCGAATGAGCAACATAATGCTGAGCTCAAAAGTGTATGTTTACCCATAACTACACATACATACTACTTTATGTAATCTAATAATGGTAGTTCCTTTACACCGGCAAACTCCATGTCCCCCATTTAATACAAGAGGCGGTGAAGCTCATGCGGCGGGAATAGCGCCATCGACTTCCATGGGCTTCAGCTGTCGAATTGGCGACAGGCTAAAACGACAATATACAAGTCTGTTGAAGAAACACCTACTGGTAGTTTATGCACGAATTGTTCACATGCCAGCGACATGGCAAGTTCAACATCTGAATGCACCGCCAGATGACGATGAGGAGGTTGCGTTCGGGCAAGGTCGCGACCCTGAGTTAAACAGGCGCCATCCAATCAACAGGAACCTGCGCCGCCTAGAGAAACATCTACAACCCCCACATGGCTGAAAAGTAACCAGATTCAACAACAAAATTACAGGCGGTTGCATGTACTGGAAGCGACACCACGTATGTGTGCACTGCATTGCTGTGTGTGAATCGATCGGGGTGGTCGTGCCGGGAATGACGATGCGAAGACTTGTCAACCGCACCATTCGTAATGGCCGGCGCCAAGCACTTAACGGCGATCTTCAATTTCTACCTCGCGGGAACCCTCGTGGTAAAAAAATAGTTTTTGTTATTTTTGATCTATATATAATCATATATAATCTACTTTTTAATAAAATAATAAATTTTTGAATAATATTTTCTTAATTTTAAATTTTTAAATAATTTTTTTAATTGTCGTTACCGTGTCAACCAAGGAGTATTGATTATCGATTAAATTCCTGTTGCGTATTAATTCATCCTTTACAATTTATTGTGGTGACGGTAAACAGGTTATATAGGCGAACAAAACAAACACACAAAAAACGTATTAATCAAAATCTGATGTAATACACCACTACTCTGTGTACTTATTTCTAACATACCACGGTTAGTTTTGAGGACTTAATGGGGTAATGGTGGTTGTTGTGGAACGTTGATCATGGGGTCATGGGGTCGCAGATGATTGAGTCATGGCGTCGTGGTGTATCGTGGCGTAACGGTCCATGTCATCGTTGCGGCCACGTCAAGTTCCACGTCGAACCACTGGCCGTGCATTTTCCACGAGCTTGGTCAGCTACATCTACGACCTACAGTATACCAACAGAAATGGGTGGCGCAGACCGAGCATCGAGCAGTCGGTGCTTCGCGACATGGATGTCACGGTCGACTGGGACATCGCAGCGGCATGGGTGGCTTCGCAGCGGCATGGGTGACCTCGTAGCGGCATCGGTGGCCTCGTAGCGGCATGGTTCTTCGTCGTTGCAAAATGATGAATGCATACATGTTATGGGCTGGCTTTAACGATGGTGGGGGGAGGCCGGGGTCGAGTGAATTGTTTCAGTGAAGCCGGGGGGGGGTATTCTTGTTGCTTTATCTCGTATAATGTAATCGATAGTTCTAGAGCGTGCCACGTTATCTACACTAGAAGCGGTTGTTAGGGCTGGACCACGTCCGTGTCGAGCGCTTGAAGTGTGGATTGTGTAGGAGTAGCGAGCAAGGCATTAGCTTAGCCACCATTTCACGACGTAAATACAAGGTTGAACATAGTACAGATGTGTGTGCACGGCTGAAACAGGCTTGTGGTCGCTGCAGAGCAAGCCACGTCATGAAAGCTGTCGTATGTGTACGTGGTCACGGCTGAACAACGATTTTGGTGAGATCATTGTTGGAATCACAGGAGGTTGCTTTGCATTGTAAGGTGTAGAGTTGGTGTAGTCTCTAGTTAATACTACGACCAAGTAGTCTGCAGTTGGTCAGGGACCCAGGCCGGACTACGGCCTGAGCGAGATCATGGGCGATGAATGATGTTCTGGTCAGGGAGTTCGTTTGTGTAGCTCAACGTTCTACAGTACAGTTAAGTGGGTAGTGGTCGTTGCAGAGGAGCATGCATGTCGTGAAAGCTACAGTATGTCTACGTGATCACGGCAGGACCACAACCTTTGCGAGGTCGTGGTCGAATAATGGTATTGATCTGGCTAACAGAAAGTTGGTATGCATCGTACTAGTACAGTATAAAGCGTTCGCGCGAGCTGTTGCTGTTCCTGGAGCTTTTCGTCCACCAATTTCCTTTGGTCGTCATCGCTTCTGCCTGGAGTTTATGTGCCTTGGTGTCGACGATCTCTCGGTCCCGCCGGGCACGGCTGCGATGCCTTCTTGGCGCTCACGAGATTGTTTTTCTATCATAGAGCTAACGACGCGGCATTAGCGGTACACTACGTTGAGTTTCCATGGAAGCACATCCACCGGCTTTCACTTTAATTGAAGGGGGTGTGATAAAAAGTCTATGGCGTTTGTGGAACACGGGGACAAGGGTGAGCTACACGGTACTGTTTAAATAAAATGGTGAAATCCACCACTTATTGCTATAAACAATAATTATTTGTTTCTGCTTAAATAAGGATAATATTCATAAACTATCCGATACCAAAACGGCATGTCTGCGAAAAAGTACCAGGTTGTGCTAGCGCGGCACTTGCATCCATGAAGACTGGGGCTTCGGTACTGAGGAAGAAGATCGAGGACGCATAGTAACTAGCGTGGTCAAGGACGGTCCAGCCGACAGGAGCGGTCTCAAACAAGATGTGGCCATTCTACAGTGGTCCAGGTGGCGTATCGACTGGGGAAAGTCCGTCAGTAAAACCTGACGAGGTTCATGGATTAGTACCATACTAATGGATAGTCCTCTTATTCCAAGTAAGTACAGTAGTACTGTATTAGTACCCTGATTACAGCAGCATGTACTATATATTATTATGTGTCTGATATGTCACTAGGTGTCCCACACTTTGACTACGGTCCAGAAGTGCGAACACGAAGGAAGGAACCAGGTGCTTCGAAACATGTATCCCGAGCTTCGTAGTGATTGCACTTGCTTGCGACTTGGTATGGACTTGTATATGAGCACAAAGATCCTGTTGTACAACCACAAGGGCTCAATGATTCCTGCGCTGGGTGAATGCACGCACGAGGAAATCCTTGTCGACATCCACAACAGGGATGACGACGACGAAACTACATCGCACAAGCCCAAGCGAGTGTAGTATTTGAGCAAGCCAGCCACATAGCACTGTTGATAATTGTTCTCGAGTACTAGTACTAGCTTGCACTGTAGTAATTCGGCGTGTCGTAAAAAATGTGGTGGGCACCACTTTTGTCAGGATTGTACATATGATTTTATTAAGGGTGGTTTCTGGCAGATATCCTCTTCTGCCATTTCGGTGCAATACTGTAACATGTCGTGCACTATGAATAGCGACACCTTGACGTGTACTATTAATAGAACTATTAGTAGTACTGGTGGAACCAAAGCAAGGAAAGAACCCAATCCTATGTTCAAGCAGCATTTTCTACAGATGAATATTTCCCTTCATATACATATGCAGTGCACATATGAACTACTGTCGCAGTAAAGTTCCCTGTATCACACACTTCCTAATGGTTACCTGTGATTCCCTGATCTTTGTGCGCACATTTTCGGTTCTCACGGTGTAGACGTCGACGATGTGTACGCTTCTGTGGCACGATTCGAATCATTACGATTACTGATCTCCACCCTTAAACGAAACGGAGCAAATTATGCAATTCACACAGTAAATTAACTCTTACAGGTATTTTCAGGCTGTCTGAACCAACCATTTATACATGCATTCAAGCGCTGGGCGTCTCCAAGTCAGAGCTGAGTATGCCAGTGCGTCTCCAGCAGTTTCTCACAGTGGAAATGATGTCATCCATTTGAATGCCAAACGATTCAAGTGTTCGAATTTTGAAAAAGTCATCACCTTCCGATATGGTTGGATAATATAAAGTTTCAAAAATTATCAAGTTTACCCCGTTTCGTTTAAGGGGGGAGATCAGTAGTCATTGCGCTTGGTGTAATCTTTGACTGCATCATTAAACAGATGGATATTCACACGGCATTCTTGAATGGTACTACACCACAGGGTACAAAACTCTATATGAGACAATCCCCATGATATATACAATCCGACACAAAACACCTTGTGTACCAACTTGCCAATAGTATTTATGGGCTTAAACAAGCACCTCGAATTTGGTACCAACTCCTTCACGAGTTCCTTACATCATTGGGTTTTGCACGTTGCAATAAGGAGTATTGCATCTACGTCCAAAAAGTGAGAGAAGGTGAACATGACTGTGTTATCGTGGTTGTGTACGTTGATGACCTCACGATAACTTCAAAGTCCCAAATTCTTGTTGACGAACTGCAAGCAGAATTGAGTCGACGATATATGATGAAAGATTTTGGATATCTAAACTATATACTCAAAATTAAAGTTGAAAGAAATCGAGATCTCACTGTCAAAACAATGTCGCTCCGATAGATATTGTCTGCAACACTGGAAATCATCGTGCAAGAAAACACATGGAAACAAGATATCTATTTACTCGAGACTTGGTCGAGAAAGGTAGAATTCATGAAAAATACTGTAAGCCAGAAGAGGTGCTCGCTGGCCTTTTGACAAAGGCGCTTGCTGTGAAGCACTTCGAGTTCCTGTCCTGTGGCATGACATGGGCGTACGAAACCTAGCTAGCATCTGATTGGCACATCAGAATCTGATTACGATTCATGTCTGCGGCGTTGTATCACTCTTCAAGTGGGAGTGTTGAATATTGTTATTATTACATGGCTTTATCCGTACTCAATACGGATAATGTGGACTACTAGGGATGTGTGTTAGTTGGTTATGCAGAGGCTGCATGCCTTGACTTCGATCCGTACTCAGTACGGATAGTGTGGACTAGTTATATTGTAGTATTAAGAATTGTCCAAGTTTGGAACTGACTGAACCTATCTGTCTGCAGTAGGCCGTGATGTGAAGCTCACAACAACCCAATTTTCCCCCTTCTGAACTAAGCTCTCCTTCGTTTCGTGTGCATCGCTTTCCTACCACGCTTGTGTGTATTTTATTTACCTTACAATTGATAGCTGTGCCCAGTCGTGAACGCGCTGTCGCTGCTCCGTACGAGAGGAGCCTTGTGCCCATTCGTGGTAGCGCTGTTTCTGGTCCGTACGAATCGAATCTTGTGTCCACCTTTGGTGCATTCGTGGAGGCCGACGACGTAGGATCCAAAGGATTGGTGTACACCACTGTGACTACAAGTTGTACGATGTGTATTAAATCGCGCGTTGACACCACAGCTGATCTTGTTGGTCATCAAATGCCCACAAGATATCTTCACTGCAAATGCCGCAGTACGAGCCTAGGAAACCACGATTGCTCAAAATTCTTCTGCATTGTCGCGTGCCTCTCGAGCGGCCACAGTACTGTGTGGAGCTGTGGTGAATATGCTGCATGCATTTCGAAGCCGCGGAGCAAAATGACCAAGGGGGTTCACAGTGCATTCCACGAGTTATTAAAGCTCAGCTGAACACCAAGCCATGCTCGCCACAAGTTGAAAGACGACATCTGCTGCCGTCAGCTCAAAATCGCGTCAAAAAATACACAGGTAAAACTCTCGAATAGATTACTGATTTGTCACTTTTTAGCCAATCATCTGAGCTGGGATCGAGCCACGTGCCAATTGCGATGACTGGTACCTTTGGTTTTCGATTACAATCCATCCGAGGATACCTCCACGATTTAATTCGTGGTACAGTGGGTAAGCTGGCGAAATGCTGGATGACTATTGCAAGTAGCACTTTGAGTGAAGGGGTGAAGGCTAGCATGGGGCCCCATGGGTAGTGCGATCTTTTTGCAAGCATACTTTACTGTTAATAACAAGTTTGTATTACGAAACCTTCAAATATTTACATGTATTAGGGTGAGTCTGGATGTAAAAAGAAACCAAAACCTTCGATATTTAGGCAATTTCTAAGAAATTGGGAAAAAGTGAAAAATTCACTGTCTGGATCCAAAATTTGAAGAATTCAATATTTTGCCAATTTTCGCGTTTATCGCCAAAAACTAGGTTAAAGGGACACTTTTTCTAAACGTTGGCAATAACTGAGAATCTTAGATTGTCTTTCGAAATCAGTTTGGTCCAGACAGTTCAAAATAGAAGACATTAACCAGAAAAAGCAAGGTGAAACAGGCATTTTTGTATGCTGCGCAAGGCGAATTCCGAAAATAATTCTGAAATTGTTTAGTTTCGTTTAAATCTATCTTCAAGTTTGTATTGTTGATTTATATTTTTCATATATGTGTCTATCTGTTTTTGGAATTATCAATTTTGTCCAATCAGATGCCGTGAAATCACGAAAATAGCTTACATAGATTCATCATAAGGTAGTGCGCCGACTGCGATAACGTTACTTTCTACACTGATCAGGTACTTTTGTGGCGGTTGATGCAAGACATCACCACCGCCGTGGTGGGCGAGTCGTCCAATGGGGGAGCAGGCCAAGGTCACCCGCGAAATCTGCCACTTCGACAAACGCCATCATGTGGCCATCCCTCTCTTCAACCATCCAGCGCATGTCGGTGCTGAACACCGTCCCTGTCGTGTGCTCATGCGGTTGTGCGAGCGGTGGCGCCTTGGTGGCACACATCGCAAATGCCGAAGTGGCCGCTTTTTCACTTGCAATGAAAATCAGGGTGTAATCCAGACCAGAGCTGACCAAAATGCTATTTCAATCTATTTCTCGGAATTATACGAAGGAGTAATCTATTCTCAAGGTGCAGCCATGTCAATGTATTCATTCCTAGCTAGCAGCGCAAAGAATTACTACCTCCGTCCGAAAATGTTTGCTACAACCAGCAGAATTCGTGGATGAACTTGAAAGCAGATGAAGTATAATGTTCAAAAGGTATGTATTTGTAGAGGAGAAGTCATGGATCACCAATAGAAGATCTTCGCACCAAAAAACATCCAATCAAACCAGCGATCATGCATGCAAAGCTCAATACTTTATCCAATATAACATCGGTATCCGGATATCCGGTTACGATATATCCGGATGATATGCACCGACAAACCCTTTCAAACTGCCATGCGCGGGAAACGTGGCAAGAATGTGACAAACACGGACCGCAATGCCACCCTCCATCGGCTGCTAGCACTTGTCACGCCGTAATGAACACTACCTTGTGGCACATTTACTGCTATTGCGGTTGACATTGATTGGCCAGAAGCACCATGCGCCTTGCGCCTTGATTGACTCCATGCAGCCGTGAACTTCGAGGACAAACGGCGCCCGAGTTCCGACGTCTCCTCGATGACGACGATGACCCCGACGATGTAGAAATTGACCTCGACGAGCTCTTTGGTACTTTTTAAATAAATGTCCTTTATATTGTATGTGGGTGTTTCTCTTTTTACTGTTTTCAAGGGGCTGTGCACTTGTAGCAAACTTTGTCGAACTTCAATAATTATGTTGTAGCAAACATTTTCGAACGGAGGTAGTATTCATTTTGCTCCTACTGCCTGGGCGAATAACTTATTCAAATTGTTTATCGAACCATACAACACGATGTCAAGACTGGTGTCAGTGGAATTAACTACCTACTCGAAGGCGCGGATACACTCATGGACGTCTTCCATTCCCCAGAGATGCGAATTGCTCCTCAAAGTTCTTTGGTGTAATGTAATGGAGCAACGACGATCGCCAATCCCCAGCTTGGTCGCCGAGAAGAATCGCTCGCACATATTGGAGGTTGGACGCAAGACAGTCAATGTACCCACCATGGGTGACCCGCTGCTTCTTCAACGCATGCTGTACCGACGACATCGGCGGCTGAGCCATCTCGGTTGCGGCAGTTTGATTGGCCACTGGAACAGCCAATCGCTCAACAGCACTGACGTCCACTTCGGTCAAAGTGTCGGCACGCCCACTCAAAATCTTCACGACTCCAGACTCGAATGCAGGACATTGCACGATGTCGGCGGTTTCACCCAAACTTCAAACACCATCCGGATAATCCTCGCCAACCGTATCAAAAATACGACGTACATCGGACAGCATGCATTCTTCATCTTGTAACGCCAAAGTGATCGAGGTCAAATCTCCCAGCTCAGCAAGCAGTATGTCAACGGCTCGCTCTTCAATAGGACTCAATCGAAGTAAATCAAATTCCGCATCACCCAGATCACCCAGAAATGACTTGATCTCAGTGTAGCGTTTGAGCATGCTGTGAGTCGATGTCCAACGCGTACTGTTCAACGTATTGGCAGCCAAAGGAGTAAGGCGGCGGAGGCGGGCGGCAGGCAAAATGTTTTTCAACTTCCGCATGAGGAAGTTAACTTTCTGAATAACCTCCTCGTGTTGTCGCAGGACGTCCACCACAAAAAGGTTGAATCGGTGGGAAGCACAACCAATGAGAGGAACACCAGCCAAACGGGCAAAGGCAGCATTTAATTGTCTCCAATAAGTGCGACAACGTTCTCCCAAGTACGACCATACAACTCCAAAACAAAGTTGGTAAATTCCAGGTGGGCAGCCGCACTTAGCGAATCCTCGTCGTTGATTGGCGCAAATGCCCATAACAATTTGGAATAGCTAATGGGATCGTCAGAGGGAAAGAACTCAAACATTGCAACGTAGTGCGTGGAACCAAATGACCAACCGTCGAATACGATGGCAAGCTGAGTCGGAGGGGCGCGATGAATTTTGCGCTTAATGTGAGCAACCAGAGTATGCATGTACTTCATGAAAGAAGTGCGCGAAATGGTGTCGAGATTCGTGTAATGGCGCACAAGCGGATTCGACACGAACGCAAAGGGCAGCAGGGACAAACAGATCCAGTTCAACCACCCGTAGACTGTACGCACTAGGCGTGGGACCATGATGTCGAAGAGCTCAGTGGGATTGGGAGGGTTGGCAGCGTCGAAAGTAGCATAGTTCGGATGAACAACAGCAGTTACATGGGAACACAGATTCGTGTAACCACTACCAGTTTGCGTGCTACGAACGCCACAACGACACACCCACACATTGCTTCCAGGAGCCATACGCGTAAAAAAGAGCTCGGTGAGCTGATGGCCACGGAGAATTGCGTGGGGCTGGTTCATCAAAAATGATAATGATGTTTGCTGTCCTTTTGTCCTGAATTGAATGGCTCAAATGCACTTTGGGGTTTTACAGTGGGCGGAGCTATCGAGGGGTCCTACCGGATATTATCCGGAACTGATAATGTTTTGCAATTTCTTTGTAGTTGAAATTTGTATCACTATCTACTCGTATTTATAAATAATAGCAGGTTATAAATACAACACGTTTTTTCACCTTCCATATGGCATAGTTTTTCTTTGCTTACTGAGCGACAGTTTTGAGATAGTAAATGCGGTATTCACAGTTTATGCGTTCTGAGAGTACGATTTCAACACACTTTTCCCGGATCAATTTGGACAAGTATATCGGACGTTACAAGTCCAGGACCCCTCGATGAATCCGCCCACTGTTAATGGCTTGCAGCAAAAAAGTCATTTCTAGCCACGAATTATTCCCCTCAAGCTCGATATTTTTTCGTTGTGGGGGTCGAAACGAATTATCTATTCCCCTCGCTGTGCTGATTGAATTATTTATCTTTTGACCTGCATTAAAAGAATATTTCATTTATTTGAACAAAACAAGTATATTCCTGCCCGGAATTATTTTTTGGTCACCTCTGATCCAGACCCACCTAGGCTAAATATCAAACTTTTTGAGTGCTTTTTCAGAGGATTTACAAATGGTTCCTCCTTCATATTCTCCTAAACCTTGATGGATCGCTTGATCATCGCTACGCGCTTCTCTACGGCAGTAACAACCTTGCCCTCTTTCAGCCACTCCGTAGAGCACATTCACTTGAACGGTTTCATGACGCCGAGGTTGAGGGGTTGCAAGAAGCTCGTTGTTTTAGCATGTAACAGCTGCTGGTAAGCTCCGCAGAACAGCTCGTCTTCAAAAATCTTGTAGGTCTTCTTTAACACGTCGCACTTGAGGTTGTCGGCAAGGACAACAGTCGGGTAGTGGACTTCTGATTTCATAACTGCACAAAGGTACTGAGACCACATGCGTTGGTCCATGTATGCTGCATTCTGCACGGTGTATACAATGCCACTGGGATACGTTGCGATTTCTTCACCTTTCGATGTCGCCGCGAGGTGTTCCCTTCACAATGATCATCATCGGCAATTTTCCTCCTATACATAAAATCAATTAACGTGGTTCAGGGTCAGTACCATCTGCATGGATCGTCAGTACAACGGTGATTCTGCCAGAGTGCTTCTGTGTTTCTTGGACACGCTATGATCCTACGACCTTCGCCAGTGTTTTACCAGGGGGCATGTCGAAGTACACGGGGGTCTCATCGATATTCATCAAAGCGCGCTTTGGTAAGTGCCAGATACTACTGTGGGCCAGTTTCTATTCAGTTCTCTGTAATGGAGCATCTCCACCACGACCGTGTATTTTCAGGGGTTATTTAGGTGGTCTGATTTCATTCCAATGGATTCGGATATTTTCAGGGGTTATCGCAGAAAAAGCTCCCGTCCGTTTGGGTTAAGGTGGTCTAATTTCGTTCCAATTGGTTCGGATAGGCACTTCTACATGTTTGATTGGCTAGAACGAAATAATTGAGAATTTTGACCAATATAAAGCACAGGGTAACGTTACCACCAAATAGTTCTATATTGACACCATACAGCAATTTGGGTACAACTCGAAAAGGTACTAGGGTATATAATGTATCATGTGCATCCGAGCGGGTTAACCCGCTAGAATGGAGGAGATTTCTTAATACTACTTAGTAACGTGGCCGACCATTGATGTGCCGATTGTCCATTGATGTGCCGACTTATTCACCCTATCAAACCCTAAATCGATTTTCATTGGACATAATGCAACCTCTAGAAAATGATACCTGTACAAATGCATTCTATGAACCCTATGATGCTCGTCACCTATATACTACCAACTTTTCACAAAATTTTCTGACTTCTATTTCATATTCACATTCAACGTCATCCAGCCACCTTTTCTTATCTGGATGCATTTATAGAGGTAGTATTGATACAAAAAGTCAATGAAACAATTAGTGACCATCAAGTTTAGCAAGACTATAGGATGATACAGTAAAAAATGACGTGTATTCCTGCGTTTCAGGCGTTTTATCAATCACGTTTTGGGTTTCATCGAAAAACAATACAATTGTTCGATTCCAAATAGAATTCCACACAGGCTGGTACAATTTTTATACCATTTCAGGTTACTTTGATAGAATTATTCACAAAAGGTCGATGGATGCTAACGTTGACTGTCAGTACTCAAAATTTCAGCAAATTGAGACGTAGAATCGACAGATCTCAATGTGGTGAAGAAATTCTACGTCTCATATTCAAATTTGGTGATGAATTGGTCCAGAAATAGATATTTAACCTTGTAGAGTATTTTACATGGGCGCATGATATTTGGCCATAGGGGTGGCCGCTGAGATGTATCTTGATTTTTGTATGTGACTCTTATCCGTATAATATCCGGAGGCAGTTGGGACCTTTAATCTCCCACTGCAGTGATAAAACGCATAAATTTGGTATTTAACGTTTTGGATTTTGGGTTTAACTACATTAATTGTACGTTAAATAATAAAACCTCCACTCTTCGATTTGGCCAGTTGGAAGTTTTTAGATGACGTGCATCATATCATAACATTTGTGTTTAAAAGTACTTCTATATAATGATACCTGTTCGAATTGTATAAACCTTTATAAAATGGTAATCGTATGTTGTTGAAATAGGTTTTTTCAATACATAACTCAAGTATAAAAATCGGCACATGAATGGTCGCCCTGTGTAAAGTACTCAACTTCATAAATTAATTGTGCAATCCTGAACTGTTTAAATCGATATACTGGGCTCATTCGAAAGTGCTCAACGTTATCCATCCAAAAATGTACTATTAATAGTATGTATCAAGGGAGAATTTGAAAAACAACTGAAATATTCGACAATGAAAATGAAGAAAAATCGGTACATCAATGGTCGGCCACGTTCAAACCCAATTTGAAAGCCAATTTGAAAGCCACACCCCTCACTCTACGCAAGTTATCACATCCAGTAGAGTGATGTATTGTGTTTTGCGATTGCCAACCTATAAAAAAAGTTTTGGGAAAAGGGCGTCCAATCCATTCGAATTGCCCATTCATTCAGTACTGTACTGTAGTTGTACTTACATTAATACTACTGTAGTAGTAGAGTGATTTTGTACCAAGAATCCACACGAATTTTCCAATACAATTTCACCGAAAATCCTTCGGGGAATATCTTGTTGGAAGGTGCTTTTGCTATAGGGAAAATTCACATTTACTGTTAAGCAGAACTACCGCTGTGTTTGTTGAAAAATCACTGAATTTGCTTAAAGGTTGACTAACTGTACTCCTTACAGTACAGCTTGTAGCGGTAGATGGCTGCAGAACCAACCCTGTCTGGCTATATTTACGGTACTTCTTCAGCTGCACGACATGAACCCCCAGCCTTCTGAAGGATGTTGATCACCTGCAGCTACACTACGTGGCCTCACGACGCACTTGAGTCAACGCACTAACGAACCAGCCACAAGAAAATGTACGAAAATTCTCGAGTGTTCTGCTATACAAGTCGTGATTAAAGAAATACATGGGCCATGTCGAGGGAGTTTAGGTACGTTCGCCACGGATGCGGCGAGCCAAGTGGATGTCTTTGGGCATGATCGTCACGCGCTTGGCGTGGATAGCACAGAGGTTTGTGTCCTCGAAGAGGCTCACCAAGTAGGCTTCAGCAGCTTCTTGGAGCGCCAAGATAGCAGTAGTTTGGAAGCGCAAGTCGGTCTTGTAGTCTTGGGCGATCTCACGCACCAGTCGCTGGAAGGGCAGTTTGCGGATCAAGAGGTCGGTGGACTTCTGGTATCGGCGGATTTCTCGGAGCGCAACGGTACCAGGGCGGTAGCGATGGGGCTTCTTCACGCCCCCGGTGGCTGGCATGCTCTTTCGGGCTGCCTTCGTGGCCAATTGCTTGCGCGGGGCTTTGCCTCCAGTGGACTTGCGGGCGGTCTGCTTCGTGCGGGCCATCCTGCGTGGCGAAATTCGAAAATGAAGAGGTGTAACGTTTGAACATCAACATCGCATTTTATTGGTGGAATATTTTGCATATCCACCAATCAATCAAACTCACTATGGAAATTCAAATTTTCAAATTCTCATTGACTCGGCAAATTAGCCGAAAAACTGTGAATTATTGTGAATTAATTCGTGACATGCCATGAGTGTAACCGATTCAATCGAGTTACACCATAAGTAACCGCTTTGTTGCCGCGGAAAGGCGAGTCGTCGAGATGAACGAAGGCGTAAATGACCAGCGTAAGGACATCCTATCTGAACGTTTGCTGACCGTTGAAGGGCAGTTGCGTCCTTCATCACGGCCCTCGTCCAGAAGGAGCTGGATGTGCTGTTCAAGTCCCGCGACGAAAACATCGAGCGGTTGAACCAGCAAGTGAGGGCGTTGATCAAAGACGTCGAGCGCATTACGATGGAGCTGGAGTCTAGAAGTTCGTGGAATCGAAGCTTGGCCAAATGCGAAGTCAAGTCCGATGCATCCCCGTCCAAAAAGTGCAAATTGTGTACTACATTCTCTGTGTCGCGTAACTATTACATAGGAGAATCGCTCAAAAGTCCTTCAAGCGATTGCCAGCCATCGATCCGACCGATGACGACGCTACCGTCGCACGAAACGAAGACGGCAAGCTCGTATTTGGTACACCTGTCCACGTAGTCACATATATATTGACTTTTGAACGGTGTTAGACAAGAATCTACCTCGTGTGGCCAACATTGGCAAGAGCAACCAATCGTTCTTGAACACACTGACGCTGCAGTCGCAGAAGCAAAAGATCTACGAGCAGGCGTTCGTGCGGTACGCAGAGTGCAGGAGCACGGTGTTCGCCCCGAGCAGCTGGGACCCTCGCAACATCTCTGTGCAGCAACTGGAGCTCCCCAACATGCAGCTCAAGCTGTCGCGGGTGCACGGGTACCACAGCACCGCCAACTCGAACGTGTTCTACTTGGCAAGTGGCGAGCTCGTGTGGTTCACGGCCAAAGTTGTCGTCATGTACTCCCAGGCAAGGCAGAACCAGCGATTCTACCTCGGCCATACAAAAGAAGTCACGGCCATGGCTCTGCATCCGAACATGGCCGTGGTGGCGTCTGGTCAGTGCGGAAGAGACGCGGCGGTTATAAATGTATGGGACAGCACGCGCGCCAAGACAGAGCCGACCCACGCCCTGGCCAAGCTGGAAGGCCACTCGGTGAACATTCGGAGCGTGAGTTTCTCGCATGATGGCAAGTTGATCGCGTCGTTGGGCGGAGACCTGTACAACACCATTTGTGTGCACGACTGGCAGGACCGGACCCTGCTGGTCAAAGCCAGGTTCAAATAAGACGTGCTATCGAATATCGAATTTACTAAGGATGATGTTGCTGCTGTAGAGGCCACAGCTCCAAGGTGTGGACGGTGGCCTTCAATCCATTTCAGGCGTATGGCATGCCAGACAAGGTCAAGGCACAGCCGCGACTGTCCAAGAGGCAAAAGTGGGAGACTCGGCCCCAGCCCGGCCAAGCCCTGCGTGACGAAGACGCGTGCTACACACTTGTACAAGCTTATAACTAGTTCAGGGGGTGGTCGTCACGATGTTGTAGGTCAGCTGTGGCGTGCAACACATCAAGTTCTGGACGCTGACCCAAGTGGAGTACTCGCCTCCGAGCACCGTTGCCAAGGTTCATTACGTATCAGTAGTATCTAATCTAAACAACAAATGACTGAGTAATAGGAAGAGAGCGCGTTCTATGGATCGTGCTTTGGAGGTCCAAATCGAATGCGGCAGCCCACTCCGCATGAAAAAGTGTGGAAACTCGAGGGCAACCCTCCGCTGATGAAAAGCGAAGCCCAAGACTTTACCTGCTTGGCGTTCACCAACGACAACATCCCGCTCCAAGTGTACGACGAAGCCACGGACTCCGTCGCAGATTCCCCCACCGTACGACATCTCCATATATGCATTGCTGTAAATCTCATATGACTTATAGCAAGGCGACACGACCCTCGGCCGCATTGTGGCAGGTACTGCCAAGGGCGATCTGTATGTGTTTTGGCAGCCCCGCAAGTCTCCAACTTTGGACGTGCGTCAGTCGTGGTGGGAGCTCCCGGCGGCGTCGTGGCAGTTGGGGGACGACATTTGCATCGAAAACGTCCAGTTTGAGTCCACGGCCAAGCTCGTAGAAATCATCCCCCACGACGTATCGACTGGCAACCGGTTCAAGATCTCTCGCCACGCCCAAATGGAGCTGCAAGACATTCACCAACGGTGGCCTATCTTGAATGATGGGGGATATTGGAATGATATTGGACTGTTAGACTGACGTTGAAGCCAGATGCCAAGCCTCTGCTGGACCGCCTCGCCAGTCTCGAGTACAAGGGCCCGCTGGCCCACGTGACTGGCCCGTGCAGCCAGGTGGCGTGCGACGCCAAGACGGGGAGCATCGCGTCGGCCGGTGCCGATGGAAACATTCATATTTGGAGCCTCCACTTGCTCGATCCGATGAAGGTGTGTGGCACTCGTACGCTGGGCCTGTACACGCCACTGCACGGGACTGCGAGCGACGGGCGACACAAGCTGCAGCTAGAGCAGAGTCTTCAGATCCCCAGCAAGGCGCGGCTGACGAGTCTGCAATGGAGTGGGGACAGACGGCTCGTGGCGGGGCTAAGTAACCACAGCATTTGGGAGGCGGACGTCGCTTCGGGCGAGTGGAGTGTCGTGGTGGAAGGCTGCGAGGGCAGCGTGTTGGGTATGTCCTATATCGCTCAATATACAAATCTATATTTGGGTTTTGAATAGGTGGCGTCCTCATGGAGGCCCAGAACGAGCTCGTGACAGTGTCGAGCGACCACCTCGTCCGGTGTTGGGACCTCGCGACCCTCACGTGTGTCCAGAAGTGGACTCTTAAACCCACAGGCGTATGCATTGAAGCCCACCCCGGTCGCCGCGAATTGGTGGTCGGGTGTGCTGGAGGCGAGGTACTAGCCCATATTGAAAGGAAAAGATGAGATGATTCTGGTTTGTAGCTGGTGCTGTTAAACTACCCTGAGCTGTCGGAGAAGAAGACGTGGCGCGTGCTGTCGAACGAGGGCGTGAGTGTGTTAAAGTACAGTCCCGACGGCAAGTACTTGGCCGTGGGAGCCAAGGACAACTGCATGCACGTGTTCGACGACAGCTACAAGAAGGTTTCCAAGTGCGAAGGCCATGCCACGTATGTGTCGCATATTGACTGGAGCGTGGACGGGCACCTCATGCAGACCAACTCTGCGGACGGAGAGATCTTGTACTGGCAGGTCCACGGCGCGTCCGTGCGGCAGATCACCGACAGCGTCGTCGTGCGTCGTCCTACCATTTCCTCCACCTTGTTTGACTCATGGGAATGTGTGTAGATGCGGGACATTCTGTGGGACCGGTGGAGTTGTGTGTTTGGGTGGCCGGTGCAGGGAATATGGGCAGACGACAGCGCGTGCAGCGACGTGTCGGCCGTGACGCTGCTGGACGTCGCGCCCAAGTACAAACACCGGCCGGCGGATGTGCACAATGTGCTCGTGGCTGACCGTAGCGACTTGCGCTGCTTTCGCTGGCCGTGCATGAAGTCCGCCCAGAGCTATACCTACCACGGCCATGCAGCCAATATCACGTGCATCTTGACGTGGAAGGAGCATAGCATCGTCACCTTGGGCGGCAGCGACGGAACTATCATGGAGGTACTATCCCGAGCGATTATTCGGTAGTACTAATCGTACTGTGAAGTGGACGGCTGTGGCGAATGAAGGAGGCCCCACAGACGAAAGGAGAGATCGAATTGAAGGGGACAATACAACACCTGTGTACGACGTGGAGGTACCAGTGGACCCGCCCACAAGTCCTACCCCGCCGCCCAAGTCTGCCGACAGCAACCACCGACCTAGAACCCCACGCCAGACATTCTTCAAGGAAGAAGTTCGTGAGGACGACTTGACTCTTCGCGAGGAGACCATTGCACCTGACAACTTCACCCGCATCTCGGAGATGGATAACTTACACATGTCGCGTGATGATGAACCACCCGCAAAGGAAGAAGCGATTCGAGAAGGAAGCACAACGGATGGCATCGAGTGCGGTCGTGCGAAGTTTGCGTTCCAGGGCGAAAACCCCGACGAGCTCAACCTGAAGGAAGGCGAAGTGATTCGCATCTTAGAGAAGCGCCAAGGCGACTGGTGGTTCGGTGAGACCTGCGATGGCACTCGTGGCATATTCCCGAGGGAGTACGTCGAGATCGATTAGGAGTAGCAGCTACAATCCATCCATGATGCACAGTCGTCGGAATATTTCTGTGGTGATGTCGGTTGGGTCTAGAATTAGGATTTCTGAAAAGTCCGAAATGTACCAATACTGTTCCAAAGAGATACTACCTAATTAGGGAAATTAAACCCCGATTAGGCTCCCCTGTGTTTGCGTAACTGCCACAGGGGATCTCTAGGGCTAATTCATTCTCCAAGATGACCAAATACCGCAGCACCCGCGGCGACGTCCGCAACTACTCGTTCGAAGAAGCCGTCCTCAGTGGCTTGGCGTCGGATCGAGGTCTATTCGTCCCTGAAGAAGACAGCTTCCCATCCCTTCCCCCGAACGCCCTCACCGAGTGGGCGTCGCTGTCGTACCAGGACCTGGCCGTGGAGATCCTGTCGCTGTTCATCGATGCGAAGGAGATTCCCCGTCGCGACTTGGAGGTTCTGGTGAAAAAAGCATACACGTTTGGCGACGCCAACTACCGCCACAAGGACGTAGCGCCTCTGGTGAAAGTGAAGGGCAACTTGCACGTGCTGGAACTGTTCCACGGCCCCACGTTCGCGTTCAAGGACATTGCGCTGCAGTTCCTTGGCCACTTATTCGAGTACTTTCTCGAACGCAAGAACAAGCACAGCGATTCGGTGCACCAAGTGACGGTGGTGGGGGCGACGTCGGGCGACACCGGCAGCTCGGCCATCTACGGCCTTCGCAACAAGAAGAACGTTGAAGTGTTCATCTTGTACCCCAACGGCCGCGTGAGCGACATTCAGGAGCAGCAGATGACCAGCGTACTCGACGACAGCGTGCACAACTTGGCCGTGCAGGTATCCATCGTCGTCCCACGAGAACGTTCCTCCCTCCTCATCGGCGTTGGTAGGGCACATTCGACGACTGCCAAGCCATCGTGAAGGACCTGTTTGCCGACGCCGCGTTCAAGAAGAAGGTTTGAGTCATCGCGTCCATGAGCATGTCCTCATCTACGTCTCTAGTACAATCTGGGCGCCGTGAACTCGATCAACTGGGCGCGCATCTTGGCGCAGATCGTCTATTACTTTTACGCGTACTTCCGCCTACCTACCCACGACAAGGTGGCGTTTTCCGTCCCCACGGGCAACTTTGGCGACATTCTCGCTGGCTTTTACGCCAAGGTATATATATATAGTATCAAGTTTGGATATATATATATAGTATCAAGTTTGGATATATATATATAGTATCAAGTTTGGATATAGTATATATATATATCCAAACTTGATACTATATATATATATATATAATGTCAAGTTTGGAGGGAGATTCTTCACTGGATGTATATATGTAGAGACTGGGGCTTCCCTTGGACAAGCTCATCGTCGCGACCAACGACAACGACATCCTCCATCGGTTCTTCTCCTCTGGCAAGTACCATCGCACCCACGTCAACCACACGACGAGTCCGTCCATGGACATTTGCGTCTCGTCCAACTTTGAGCGGTACCTGTTTGCCCTCGGCGGCGATGACGCGGTCGTGCTCAAGGACTGGATGACCAAGTTCGAATCGACGGGGAAGCTGACGGTGCAGGGCTCGCTACTCAAGAAAGCGCAGGCGGACATGTCGTCCTATTCCGTCCTGGAACCGGTACGTCCTTGGACGGGGATTTGAATGTGTTCTGAAGATGGACACAGGAAGTGCAAGCCACGATCAAGCAGTACCACGTCCACCATGACTACCTGTTCGACCCCCACACGGCCATCGGCGTCGCGGCGGCGGACCATTACCTCGAGTCCGAGTCCCCAGATGCGACGGTGGTGGTCTTGGCGACCGCCCACTACGGCAAGTTCCTGCCGACGGTGTTGGACGCGTTGAAGGAAGACGGCGGGGAAGTGAAGCAGCACCCCATTCTCAAGGCGCTGGAAACCTTGCCTCGGCGCTCGCATGTGATCGAGAACAGCGTTGTCTCCGTCAAGGCGTTTGTGGAGTCCCACGTCCAAAGACGCGATGCCAAGGAAGGGGGAGGCTTCCTGAGCGGCCTACCTCAGTCCCTTCTTCTGCAGGGATCGCTCGTCGTGGCCGCGGCAGGACTGGTTGCGTTTTATGCACTCAAGAAATAACTGTACAGTAAATGCATGCATTCATGCCACGATTAACGATCCGGATATTACAATACCAATAAAACTCAAATAACCTATTTAACGCCTTTTAATCGTTGATTGGTGAAACCGTCGAATGCACTTTTACTCGTGACGTTTTAGGTAAAACGGATGCTGGGTTAACTGTATCCGGATATGAGGACCACAACCATTTTTCGATTCCACGACAGGGAACAATCAGCAACAAATGATGGAACAAGCGCTTGTGTCCCCCGTGCCCATTGCCTTCGCGAGGAAGCTTAGCAGCGACTCCAGCTTCTCAGAGAACGCCACCAGAGACCAAGATGAACTGTCAGATCGGTCCTCGGAGAATCGCAGAAGCCTCACCGACGCCATTGGTGATATCTTCATGGGAACTCGAAGGACTGGCTTGTCCTTCCCCAACATGGGAAGCTGGCGAAAGGGAAACGGGAACAAGTACGCTGAGAACGGAGACCTCGAATATCTCGTAGAGAACTCGGACAACCTGAATTTCTCCACGGACGCCATGGATTTGGCGGCGGCGAATGGCCACTTGGACGTGGTGCAGTGGTTGCATGTGCACCGGTCCGAGGGATGCACGACCAAAGCGTTCGACGGCGCATGTGCAAACGGTCGCATTGCTGTCGTCACGTGGCTGCATCTGAATCGCATGGAAGGAGGCACATCGGAGGCCATGGATGGCGCAGCCAGCAACGGACACCTGGACGTTGTGAAATTTCTGCACAAACATCGTCTCGACAAGGAACACTGCACACCCGCGGTAAAAAGCGTTCTCTTCACATGTCCTTTCCCATGTTGCTTCTAGGCATTGGACCACGCGGCAGGCCACGGGCACCTCGCCGTCGTCGTGTGGTTGCACTTCAACCGATCCGAGGGATGCACGACGCTGGCCATGGACAAGGCCGCGTTGAACGGCCATGTCGAAATCCTCAACTTCCTGCTGGAGCATCGCAAGGAACGGTTTACGAACGTGTTGAGCACGTTGACCGCGCTGGTCAAGGCAGGTGACGTGGCGACGTTTGAGTGGATGGCCGAGAATGTGTGCGACGATTTGCAGTACTTTGCCGTGATGGACACGGCGGTGGTGGAGAGCCAGGTGGGCATTCTCACGTACATTTACGACAAGAAGCACGGGTTTTGCAGTCGCGCGGTGCGGAAGAAGGGCAACGCCGCGACCCAGGCGTTCCTCGACGCGAGTCTGCACGGCCAGTACTGGGACGCCACGTACCCCATCGACTTTGCAGCGTCTCACGGCTTCCTCTTCTTCGTCGAGTACCTGCACAACACCCAACTGCCCCAGCTGGCGTCGGAAACGGCGTTGAACGCGGCGGCAACCAATGGACATTTGGACGTGGTGACGTTTTTAGACGACAGCCGGAGCGACGGATGCACCACCGACGCCATGGACGGCGCGGCCACGAATGGACATTTGAACATTGTGACATTCCTTCACCACCACCGCGCCGAAGGCTGCACCGTGAAGGCGATGGACATGGCCGCGGACTATGGACATTTGGAAATTGTGAAATTCCTTCACGCCGAGCGCACAGAGGGGTGCACAGTGTACGCACTGAATGCCGCGGCCAGCAGTGGACATTTGGAAGTCGTGGAGTTTTTAGCATCGAATCAGCTGGGCCAGCCGTTCCTGGCCATCGATTTCGCCGTCCAGCATGGCCACTTGGACGTGGTCCGATACCTCCACGAACAACACGGGGCCATGTGCCTGAAGTCGTACTTTGACCTGTGCGCCGACGCCGCCACTAAAGCGTACCTCCAGGACAGCACCAAGCACCCAGCACTTTGGGACATGGAGCCATTGGACTTTGCGGCGGGGGAGGATCGAGAGGACCTTGTGGCCTGGTTCGAGCAAATCGGTCACTCGAAGTACACGGCCCAAGCCATGGACAGGGCGGCTGCCAACGGACTCGTGGGCGTGGTCAAGCGGCTGCACGACACGCGGACGGAGGGCTGCACCGTGGACGCGATGGATTACGCCAGCGCCAACGGTCACTTGACTGTGCTGCAGACGCTTTACGAGTACTATGGCCACCGGTACACGTCGCTGGCGTTGGACCTGGCGGCCGGCAATGGCCATTTGGAAGTGTTGGTCTGGTTCGACTCGATGGCGAGTGACGCTGGTCGGGTGATTCAGCCGACGTCCAACGCCATGGACTGGGCAGCGCGCAATGGCCATCTGGACGTGATTGAGTACTTGCACGACCACAAAAACACGCCGTGTTCGCCCAAAGCGCTGGATTTAGCCGCCAAGATGGGCCATCTGAACATTGTCATGTGGTTATATGTGACACGGGGCGCAGTTGCGACGCCGTCGACGATGGATGCCGCAGCATGTGGTGGCCATTTGGAGATCGTACAGTACTTGCATTCAACCTTTCCCGACGTGCCTTGGTCCAGCAAGACCGTGGACGGCGCTCTGAGAGCCGGCCACGTGGAGATCGCTGATTGGTGCGTGGCCCACGGCCTGCCCCAATCAGCTGCGACCAAGGACTTGGCGGCGAAGAAGGGCAGTTTGGCGCTGGTTCGGCGGTTTTGCCAGGATGAGCCCGTGTCATATCTGTGCGACGCATTGGAAGCAGCAACTCAGTATGGCCATGTGACCGTGGTCGAGTTTATCCACTCAATGTATCGGCTGTTTGTGCTGCGGAAACCGTACAAAAAGGCTCTTAAAGGCAAACACGTGGCCGTGTGCCGGTACTTGGAGGCGACGCACTTGGAGTTCTGGGCGCAGAACGCCGTGGACGTGGCCGCGAGCCGCAACAACCTGCCGTGGGTGCAGTGGCTCATGGCCAAGAAGAAGGAGATGGCGTCGGCGGCGGCGATCGACCACGCGGCAGCCAACGGACACTTTGAGATGGTCCAGTGGCTCCATGACAACGGATGCGCATGCACGACGGACGCCATGGACGCGGCGGCGGCGCTGGGCCGATTGGACATGGTATATTCTCTATATTTGGCCTCGGAATCTATCAATCGATGCGTTGACCTGAAGTTAGTATCGAATTGGTCGTCTGTGGTGATATCAATTCCACCATAAGTACACTCTATATATCAACACAAATAACTAGTTCTGGGTTAGGTTTAAACATATCTTTTATTTGTTTTCGCTAGAACAATTAATATAAAATATAATTATTATTTTTGATTCCAATTCATAGGTGGCGTGGTTCCACGAGACCCGACGGGAGGGGTGCACGACGGACGCGATGGACTTGGCGTCGCAGCACGGGCACTTTGCTGTGATGCGGTGGCTGCACCTCCATCGGGAGGAGGGGTGCACGGCGTATGCACTCAACATCTGCGCCGTCACGGGGCGCCTCGACATCCTCCAGTGGCTATCCGAGATGATCAGCGTATCCACCAAGTCGTCGTCCGTACTGGCGGACGTCCAAGCAGGGGACTTCGACCCGGATCTGGACCCGACTGAGGTGGAGGCCATGATGGCACTGCCGGACGAACGCACGCTGCAGCCCCCCGCGCCGAAGGAAGCGTCCCGGATGAAACTCAAGTCCGACTCGACCGATATGCTGTACGATCCAAACGATATATATTTATATATATATTTGATCTTGGGTGAATATATATTGATTGGTAGGGATCTGTCGAGCGAGCATGGCCATGTGGACATGGTCGTGTGGCTCACGGAACAGACGAAAATGATGGCGTCCACCGATGCCATGGACAAGGCGGCGATGAATGGACATTTGGGAGTTGTGAAGTATCTGCATGCGAGGCGGCTGGAAGGGTGCACCCATCGGGCGATGGATTGGGCGGCGGCGAATGGACATTTGGAAGTTGTGAAGTTTCTATCGACGAACCGAGCTGAAGGATGCACCACGCACGCGATGGACTTGGCGGCCAAGTTTGGTCATTTGGAGGTACACATGATATAATATTTGTCGAAAGGATTTATATATATATATATATATATATATGGTAGATGCTGCAGTGGCTATACGACAACCGAGAGGAGGGGTGTACGATGGCAGCAATAGAAGAAGCGACCAAGAATGGCCATTTGGAGGTCGTCCAATGGCTATATCAAGAGTCAGATGAAGGCAGTGTGCTGAATGTGATTGATTACGCCGTCATGCACGGCCACGTGGAGATCGTACAGTGGCTCCATGAGGCCAAGAGCGAGCACTGGTCCGCGGCTGCAGTGGGCGCGGCGCGCCATAAGCGGCATACGGCCGTACTGGAATATGTCGACAGCTGGCTGTAGAGATAAGTACTACTACGAAGTAGATCCTCTGTTCCAAAATATTATAAAAATACCCAAAATACTATTGTGGGTATTTTTGAGTGAGGTCTATACTTGGAAATTGTATGGGAAGTTGCACTAGGATCTGATATATTTCTGAGATATTCCGTATTTTTATTCAAATTCACATTTTTACGACCAACCGGATGAGGATGTGACGCACACACAGTTATAGGAATAGCAGGCACAGAGCACAGTCGATATAATGTTCCATAAGAAGACCTATATCATGAAATACAAATACACAAGGCTACTTACTATTGACATATACTGTTTATGTCGCATAAGGCATCACGACACTTGGCTCAGATTTCAGATCATTCATCGCAATGTGTAGCATATTGATGGAACTACTATAGAGGGTAAAATAAGTTTACACAAGCACCAGGCTGATAAGATTTGCAATAACATTGGCTATAACAAAGGAATAGATGTATTCTTAGTGATCATTATTGACTTACTCGCGAGTTCGTAGTATGTTTCCCCATGGTTGTGTAGGAAAAAACGCTCCACGACCAGGTGTTCCGAATCTTGCAACATAGATACCTCGGTATGCAGTGTGATTTAGACGATTTGGAGGATAGCTAGCTATATCTACGCATCAATACGAGTCGTTTGAGCCTACAATCTCCACAATCGGACCAGAAATGAATGAATGGCCGAGAGTTAACGTAAAAACATCTGATTATATGTATGGAGTCGATCTCATCCTCGACTGCGAATAAAATTAAACAAAAAAAAATGTCCTTGTTCCAGCTACAAAACAAGCCTAACTAGGGACAAATAGCGAATTTTCTTCATAAAATATGTTCCGTCCCGTAAACCCACAATACCAAGGACTTACGAAACATCCGGTTAATTAACCGGTAAATAAGGGGGGGCTCCTCGGCCTGGTTCGCTTCGCTCCCGGCCTCCGGTGCTCCCAGACATTAGATAGATCATTGCTGTTATACTGAGTCGCTGCGCGGGCGAACGGGCCTGGTTCGCTACGCTCCCGGCCCTGGCCTAAGCTAGCTCCTGATAGTTCCGGATAAAATGTTTCGCGATTGTTTCGTGATTGTTTCGTGACCATCATTCTCTCTTACAACAATGTATTTACACTATTTAGGAGTGTTGGTAATTGTTTCGCAACATGCCAACTATCTGTAAATAGCGAATTTTCTTCATAAAATATGTTCCGTCCCGTAAACCCACAATACCAAGGACTTACGAAACATCCGGTTAATTAACCGGTAAATAAGGGGGGGCTCCTCGGCCTGGTTCGCTTCGCTCCCGGCCTCCGGTGCTCCCAAGGATTATATAGATCATTGCTGTGATACTGAGTCGCTGCGCGGGCGAACGGGCCTGGTTCCCGGCCCTGGCCTAAGCTAGCTCCTAATCGTTCCGGATAAGTTGTTTCGTGTTTGTTTCGTAACCATCATTCTCTTTCAAAATAAAGTATGAACTTCACTATCGGAGTGTTGATCTTGTTTCGTAAAAGCGTAAATATGTATAATAGTATTCTCAATAGTATTCTGAGACGGAGGAAGTATTAATACTACCGTAGTACTACGTAGTATATGATTGCGTATTTCGGAGAGAGAACCTCCAAAACATAGTACCGGATGGTGATTATAAGTTAGAGGATCGTACAGAGCCCACAACAGTTGGATGACGCGGGGTTTTGCGCCTGGAACGCCTTTTGGTGCTGTCTTTCGAGGGTTTCCTTGGTCACGGTGGCCCCCACGCTCCCGTAGATCCCTAGTATGTCGGCGTTTAGTATGCGCTCACCATAGTAATACTAGGAATACCGTGGCCAGCTTCAAAGCTGTATTGCGACGGTTTCGCAGGGTCTTGGGGCGCGAATGCCAGCCGCTCCTTGGTGTACTGGTTCTCGTACGAGTACTCCCCAGGCCGAGTCCGCGACAGCACGCGGCGCCATCCTGGCGGCAGGCGCGGCGTTTGGCCCGTCGCAGAAGACGTCGACGGGGGCGTGAGAAGCCGACCGACCGGCACGATGATGCGCTTAAATGCTTCCACGACATTGGTTGAGTCCAGGGCCGACGCTTCCACGAACTCCATGTGGTGCGTCTCGGCGAACCGCGCCGCTTCAAGCGTCGACACTTGGCGCGTGTTGGGAACGTGGGCGAGGTCGCACTTGTTGCCTACGAGGATGAGCACGACGTTCTCGTGTGCGTGTTCTCGGATCTGCTCGAGCCAGTGGGTCACATGTTCGAACGAATGGCGATCGGTGATGTCGTACACCACCAACGCCCCGACGGCATTGCGGTAATACGCGGCCGTCAGCGACTGGAAGCGCTCTTGGCCAGCGGTGTCCCAGATCTGCGCCTTGATCCGACGGTCCCCCACACGAATTGTCTTGGCAGCGAACTCAAACCCGATCGTTTGAGTGCTCGCTTCGTTGTACTTGTTCTTGGTGAAGCGCTGCACCAAGTTGGACTTGCCCACGCCCGAGTCCCCGATGAGCACGACCTTGAGGATGTACTCCTGCTCGGACTCGGGGTTGCTGGCAGTGCTTCCTGTGTCTGTGCCACTGGACAACGGCGGGCGACTCTCTTCCGACATGATGATTCTTCAAGTGACACAAGATGACTGCGAGAAAAAGGCAGGATCTGATTGGTCAAAATTCCTCTTGAAGGCAACGTACCGCCATTTGTCATTGGCAAAAAGTCCAGTCTCAATGGGGGATAATTCTGAACCGAGATACCGAACGAATATTATTTTAATTGTCCCTCACTTGATCCCAGTATGCAATATTATAATCATTCCAAGGACTCTTCATTTCGAAATTACAGCTGATTCTGCCGCCTTTCGAACGAAGCTTGCGCGAATGTCAGGCGCCGATGCATTGAGGAATTCGTTGGGGAAGTGCAGGCCGGCATCTGCGGCCAGGGCTTTTAGGTCCTTCACGTTCTATGGAACAGAGTGTACGTGAACAAGTAGTCCATATGTATCACCGATTGATATCACCTTGAAGAGCGGTGCGACTTGTGCCACGAGGGCCTTGACCTTGTCGGGCTCGGCATCGGAATAGATGGTCGTGACGGCCTGAAGGACCTTCTCGATCGCAGCGGCCCGTTCCCTGGCCATGTCTTCTTGCAATCCCACGAGTTTCTTGCGCAGGTCGGAGCCATTGACTAGGTCTGCCGTTGGTGGGAACAGCGCCGTGGCATGGCGAATGAGAAACTTGATGTCGTTGAGTGCCTTGATCTCCAAGTAGATGGACTACGGATCATCGATGAGCACATTCCCCCGCATGTGCCACCATACCGACACCATGGGCTCCACCGACGAAGGGTCGATCCTGTCGAAGTAGATATTGCGGATCTTGAGCTCCAGTTCCGCCGCCAGCTTCTTCTTCTCGTTGTCTCGCTTGAGTTCCGTGAACGCGGCGCGGACTGACGTGGCCGTCGTCGGGTCCTGGGCTTTCGTTAAACTGGGCGGGAACAGGCGCTCAACATTGCGGATGAGGCTCTTCACGTCTTCCTCCGTCTACTTCATCGCATTAGGTCTACAGATATGATGCAAGATGACCTGGAACTCCTTGAGCACTCGCTTCATCACCGACTGGATCATAGCTTGGCCTTCGTTCGAGTCGGCGCTTTCCAAGTACGGCTACATGGCGTGACATGTTGAGTACATTGCATAGGACGAAGAGGAGGGACGTACGCCGTCTTTGAGTTTGTCGTACAGCTCCTGCTTTTGGCGCCGTCGGACGTCCTTTCGATGCAGATACGCCAGAGTTTTGGCGCAGACGTTGGCAGGGTCGGCGGTGGTGGCGGCTAAGAGCTTGGGATGCAGGGGGACTTCGTCCATGTCGAGGATGGCGAGGTGCGTCAGTCGGCCCATTTCGCAGGGGAGGTCTGTGAGCGCGGTGTGGTTGAGGTCGAGCACTTGGAGGTTTGCGCATTTGTAGATCGAAGTGGGGAGTGACGTGATGGGGTTGTCATTGAGCCAGAGCGAGTCGAGGGACGTGAGTTGGCCGATCGCATCCGGCAGCGTCTGGATCTGGTTGAAGCCGAGGTCGAGGCGGAAGAGCGCGGAGAAGTTGAGGCGGAAGAGGTCGGCGGGGACGCTGCGCAGTCTCTTCTGTGCCAGATGCAGGAGACCCGTGTACTTGGCTTCCTCGAGCTTCAAGTGGACGTTCATCGTCGTCATGTGAGCGAACCGTCGCGATATTTACAGTTACTAGTTGAAGCAAAACCTGCCATAAATAATATATTATCCATTCAGCAGGGTTTCAATCGCGCGCCATTTTCGAGCTTCTTGTGCGGTTTTCATGGTGGTGAAGTGCAGCAGCGCTTGCTGCGCCATCTCGGGACTCTGGAAGAGAAGGCTCTCCGTGGTGCTGGGGGATATGGACACATGCACGATGCTCGGTTCGCGGGTGTCTGCGTACGCTGTCGTGAGGTGCAGCGGGACCAGGCGCTGCACGTCCCCACGAGTCATGTCCCGACCGGGTCGGACGAGGACGAACGCGTCGACGTTGAGGAGGCAAAAGAGAAAGTCATCGGGGTTCGTCACGAGGTGACACGGCAGGAAACTGATCTCGTCCATGCCCACGGCGGTGTGGCTCTGGAACGCCTGCTTCAATGCAGCCGTTTCATGCTGCTGGTCTTCCAGAGCCGCGTCGGCAAGCGGTCTCCAAGCAGGTAGGAGGTGCGTGGTCGACATAAATACATGCAAACTTAGGTATTTCTCCACGACGTCGTTTTCGCCTTCGTCCTCGGCGTGGAAGGGTGAGAGATGCGACCACTCGACAGCTACAGGGGACGAAGGCGGCGCTGTCCGGCACTTGTCAAGCAGTTTATCCCACAATGCCAAGTGGTGTCCGTGCGTTTCACTCGAAGAGGAGGGAAGTAGCGACAACGCCCATGTTCGACGCAGGGTGTGCAATCGGGTCTCATGCGTGTGCGACAGGGGCGACTTCTGCGCCCATCTCGCTCCCGTCAGCTCTTCCAAGAGTTGCAGCGTCGCTATAACATGCACAAGCGACCGCGGCCGGGATTCCAGCTGCATAAGCATGGCATCCACGCACTCGACATCGTACGCAGGCTCCAGCAAGTCTACACTCTCGTCTTCATCTGACGAGTCATCTTCTTCCGACGGCGCTGTGGGACGTGGTGGACATGCGACGACGTTATGAGCTGGTTTGAGGCGGCAGTCCTGCAGCAACGCCCTGTCCACGTTCTTGTTGGACGCCATGGCATGCAGCACGGCCGTGGCCCCGAGGCAGAGGCGCGAGTCACTCGACTGGAGCAGCGCCAGAAGCGACTGCCGGTGGACGTTGCCCGAATCAACCAACGGCAGGCGCAGCACGTCACTTGGAGGCCATTCGCCCGTGGGGAACCGGGTCTCGAGGTAACACGTCGCAGAGCACGGTGTCGCAGAGCTCGGGGTCGTGTCGTGATTGGCTGGCGGGGGGGGGTGGGGCTTGAACGTGGCTACGGGAAGCTTGGGCAGGACGAAGCGCGGGGACAGGGGGCTCTCGGCAGAATGGGATGGTTGCGGAATGGAGCATGTCGGCGGCGGCACTTGACGGGGACTGACTTGGCCTGATGGAAGAGCATGTCAACATGTATAAGACGAGGAGGGGTACGATACTACCCAGGGAGGACTCGTGCGAGCGGGACGATTGGCGCCCGCCGGTGCCCAGGGCGGCCGACATGTACGTCGATTCGTGCGCATCGGGATGGCAGAGCCTACGACCAACACTCTTAGTGGTCGAGAGTGTTTGTGAGGGGGTGGTGTACATGAAGGTGGCGGCGTTGAGCAGCGGCGAGTGCGACATGCACTGGAAGACCTGCACGAGTAAGAACAGCGCCAATAGAGTCGAGATGCGCTGGCCGTTCGGGTGGCAGTTGGGCACGAGACTGCGGGCGACGAACCCCTTGAGGTACGACTCGAACACCCACTCGCCCAGCTGGAAGCTCAGGTCCGGGAGCGGCACGTCCAGGATGTCCTGCAGGTAGTACCAGTGGTCGATCGTCGCGTCTACCACGTAATGCAGCTTGTGCTCGTTCGCTGGAAACGTCTGCTGTTGAGTCGTGTTGAGTAGACCCTGCATCTTGAGTGCGAGCACCTGACCCTGGTCGACCAGCTCCATGAAGTACGGCATGTTCTGGCGGTGCGTGAGGAAGCGCCGCATGCGGTCGTCCGGGACGCGCAGAACGTTGAGCAGCACCGTCTTGACGGCGATCTGGACCTGGATCTCGGGACATGTGCGGAACTTGAGCGCTTCGAGGTACAGCGGGAACGTCCGCGTGGCCGCGTTGAAGAAGAATTGAACCGTGTCGACGTTCAGTCGGATACTCAGGGCTTTGAGGAAGGTCACGTACCAGTCCCTGACGTCTTCTTGGTCGAGCTGGAAGTGGCGGCACGTCATGAGCCGATTGATGTAGTTGTTCGACAGAATGTAATACAGCGACGTGGCGGTCGTGATGTTCTGCACGAGGAGACTCAGGGTTTGCAGCAGCTGCACTTGGACGCGATGAGGCGGCGCGGCTTCGCCGATTTGGACGAACAGCGCCAGCATGTTCTTCTCACAAAAGTACTCGAAGAAGAACTGCTGCGCCGAATGCTGGTCGCTGTAGATGAGGAATTCGCTCGACACGCGCAGCAGTTCCACGAGGGAGGACTCGCTCAGGTCGCGGTGCCGCAGCAGCTGCATGTGCACACTCTTCAGTCCGTCGAAGCTGTAGTTGGTGGGCGCCGCTACCTTCTTGAACCATGTGAACATCCTACTCAGGTCCAAGGAGCGTCGCCTTCGATGACTCCCTCCAGAGTGTAATAATCGTTACACGTTCATTATTTGGTGTTTTAAACGCAGAATACCAAGGACCTATAGTTATGCCTTGTTTACTGGTCATCAGTTTATAAACCAATCAAAACGAAGTACGCCCTCTCGTCTGGATTTAAAATGAATATAAAATGTTTACCGCGAGAGAAAAAAACTAGTTTTCTTGACGCAGTGAAATTCCGTTATGTCGAGCAAAGTCTCAAACTTTGTACTTGCCGATGATCTTTCGGACTTCGGCACACAGGCACGGCGGTGGTGCTGCCTCAAGAGGACCCTGGCTGGCGCAGGCCGAGCAGACTGCGTGATTGGACGCACACCAATTGTCCATGCACACGATACACTCCTTCACTTCACGAGGCGGATATGTCGAAGGACGCTGGAACTCGTGGCACAATGAAAGGTCAGTCCCCTCTTCAGATGGTTGCTTGGAATGTGCTACGTAAGCACATATGTGGACCCGTGAAAGAAGGGCGGGCGACGTCAACGAAGTGCGGAGAAGCTGCACTCGCCCAAACAATCAACTCGACTGAATATACTTCGACACCCATCGATTCACGAACGAGTCCTGAAGCATTCCGCTGTGGACGACGGCATGATACTAGAGTTATAAGAACACACATGCGTTATTAGGACTTTGAGTCTTGACGAGATGAATGGCCGTAACAAAGATCAAATGTCGCCCAACCCTAACGAGCCACATCCTACTTGGCATGGCTGGTGTGGACGGAGAGAGTTTGAGCAGGAACTTGACGACATCGACGTGATGGTTCGCGCAGCTAAACGGAGGATGGACAACCCCATCACATTCACGGCATTCACGGACGCCCCCTTTGACACGAGAAGCCGAACGCAGTCGAGGTACGCGCTCGCCCACGCAGCCAGAAGCGGTGTGTCGAGGAGCTCCAGCGCGCTTGCTTCACTGCCCACATGCTCTTTCAGTACTGACAAAGCGTCGTACTTGGCGGCGAAGAATCCAACTTGACGTGGCTCCCATGCCTGCAACGGGTGTTGGAAGCGCCCCACCGCCTTGACGCTCAGTTTGGCGAACTTGTTCACCGCGTTGGATTCCTTGCGGATGATCAGCGATTCATGTCACCGCGATATCATCGCGGAGCTTATCCAGCTTGGTCTCCTTATTCCGGATCTTCATCTGGACATCCTCCAGCTTCTTCTGTCAACCAGTTCTGCAAATGTCGCCCGACGTTCCCATTTAAGCCAATTGAAAGCTGTGAGAAATATTGTTCACGATTTTATTCTAGCCAATCACAGCCCTCTGTAAAATATTCATGGCGTGCTGGCCTACTTGAACACTGCCGCGATGACCACCGTGCCGGTCCAAATGTGCTGCAGATCGCAAATGTACGACCCGGGGGACAGTCCACGGAGTAGTTCGTAGCCGTCGGGGGGGTTTCGGAGGCAGTCTATCAACGGCCCAAGAGCGACTCGCGGGTCCCGCATCTTCTCCAGCACTAGCCTTTCGGCAATCGGGCCAGGGATCGCCATAGGTCCATCGGCCATGTCGTCCAGTGTCAGCGACGCACAATGATACACAACGGAGTTGGCTTCCCACGTAATATGGACGCCAACCTCTGGCGACGGACACAGGTGGTACTCGGGGCTTGGACGGAAGGAGGCGCAAACTAGCATCGTTCCTCCGTCGTACCTTGTGAGCCACGCTTCGTACTCGTCCCATGCAGGGTCTCCGTGCCGAACTTCCACCAGACTCAGATCTCCTTCGGCCAAACTCGACGTCGTCGCACCGACGGCCGCCATTCTGTCCACGACCTCCTTGGGCACCTCTCCCCGTTGTCTCTCGTCGTCATCGGTCCTCGCAACGGCGTCCGACTGGATTGGCGGCACCCACATGTCTAGAATAACGTCGTATACTGGTGCCAGTTCAAGTCCGGATACAAGTTCGGGCCAACGGTCTTACTTATTCGTACGACGACAATTTGATCGAATTATAAACTGATAGTATTTCCAATGATATCTACAGCATATATCTATGCACTGCGATACAGTGTCTGCGATACAGTGTCACAGGAATCGTCAGCACCGAAACATGCGGATGATTTCACGGACGGGACCCCGACAGACGGGACAGGACGCGGGCGGGTGCGCGAGGAGGCAGCGGGCGCAGGCCATGCACACGGCGTGGTGGCCGCAGGGCACGCACACTCCTTCCTGGGGTCCGTCGAAGCACACGACGCACTCGTGGGCGTCCGGCGCCGACGCCGGCGGAAGCATGGAAAAGTCTGGGGCGGACGGCGACAGTTTGACGGCAAATTCATGCGCTTCCTCGACGACTGGAGCGGGGGTCGCATGTTCGAGGCTGGCCGCCCTTGTCGCAGGCAACGGGGCCATCTACTGTATCGCATGAATAATGTAAGCGTAGACAGCGTCGACAGCACCGCGAGGGATTTGGCCAGCGGAAGGGCGGCGGGCGATGGCGGGAAGAGGTCCTCGAACGGCACTTCGTCCGCGACTGGGATCGAGCCATGCTCGACACTCGAAGACAGCGGGGCCATCTACAGTATCGCAGGCATATATTTCAACCCTAGACAGTGTCGCACATGTATACCCCCGACGCATCGATGAACGCATGCTCGAAGAACTGCATCCACGTCGTAAAGGCCTCCTCGCTCAGCGCGGCGAACTCAAACGTAGCTGCCGCCTGCTTGGAAGGGAATATTTCGACGCCAGTGAACGAGAATGTGTGCGGCTTGTTGTTGAGGCTGCGCTTGGGGATGGGCCACGTGACGGGGTCGCCCATGCGATACACCGCCACCCACCTGCGACACTGTGAAATCAGATCAAGTTATGGAGGTGCGACACTGCGAAATCAGATCAAGTTAGGGAGGTGCGACACTGCGAAATCAGATCAAGTTAGGGAGGTGTACACGGGAACGGCTGGACACGCGTTGGGGGCTGGGGTCTCGTACGCGACGAACTCGAGCTCTGGGGACGTGGCGCTCGTGCGGAGGACGGCCATGTACCTATGCACATATATGTCATTCATTCCTTTATGGGATCATGCACCGTTGATGCCAAGAATGCGCCTTGAACCCGACGTTCTCGAGCACGAGTCGGTTGAGCAGCGTGCCGCGAAGACTCTCAAACAGCCAGCCGTGGATAACCGCACATCTCTACCGTAGAACTCCATTAGTCCCTCGAGATCGGATTGAATGCGAGGAGTGTACGTACGGCGTCCAGGGCGCGGCTGCACTTGGCGTAGCGGCCGTACTTGTCTCCGAACAGACTCGCACCTTTGCGCACCACGTGGATTGCTAGCAGTCCCGATGTGCTTCGAATGTATGGATCCACGCGAGGTAGAGATGTGAGGAAGGACACGACGTCCGCTTGCTGCTGCTCCGCCGCACACAGCAGGGGTGTGAACCCGAAGGAGTTGGTCGCATTCACGTCGGCGTCTGATTGCGTGAGAAACTGCACGCAGTCCAGGTGTCCAAAGTACGCTGCGACGTGGAGGGCCGTGCCGGACGACGACGCATCTCGATACTCCAGCGCGCCAGGGGTGTGGATATGCGCCTGGAGGAGAGAAAGGAGACCGAACTTTGCTGCATGCCACGCCACTTGGTCAGCTGGAAACAGTTCCAGGGGGTTCTGAATCTTCTTGAGCATGTCTGCACGCAAGTTGGAGATCTTGGTGTTGATGGACGCTTCCTTGGCCTGCCAATGCCGCAGCTTGCCATCGTTGTGTTCGGACAAGACCTGTCTCCACTGCGCCTTGTCGCGCTTCTTGGCGAGCACGAGTGCCTTCAGATGGAGCTTCTCCACCTTGTGGGTACGCTTGTTCCGCGCCTTCTCCGGCAAGCTCATCCTGTCGTCGAAATTAGAAGTGTCCAACGTTAGCGAATGCGCTTGTCTCCAACGACCGACATTCTGCGTTTGATTGAAAGTATTGTGCTTTCGTGTTGTGGCGTTGGAATTTAAATCGATTTGATTGGCTACTTTAGATGAGCTCAAAATTATTAGCCAATCAAAACCTTCTCAATGAAATTCAACAACCAATCAGATCGATGGTGGATCGGTTTGGTCGGCGCACGATTCGATTACACCCCCTCCCCAAATTATAATAAATCGACAATCGTATTGTGCTTTTTACCCATTTGCCCATTGTTTTATCGCACTAATCAATGGATGACAAAATTAAAACCACACGTTAAACAACGCAAATATTAATAAATAAAGACAGGTTGTTATTTACTGGACCATCTCACTCGCAAAGTGGACGAGACCAACATGCAGCGCGATCGATTGAACGTCGCGTTCCCATCGTGTTGAATCTTGTTACGCTACGTCGTAAGAGTCCAAGTATGAGGCGAACGACGTCAACTTCAATGCCATAAACTTGGACAAGCACATCACATCTCCAACGCATGTCGATGCTGATCATTGTAAAACAAATTGAATACGATAAAACCGTGCATCTCCACCAATTCTTAGCCAATCAAAGCATCACGAATAGTTATAATTCAACGCGAACTGTAAAACTTGCATCCGTAAAATAGGACTACATCCGTAATTGTTTTTAAATTGTTGTTTAGCCAATAATCTTTCTTTATATAATTCTTTTTTGGTGGTCCTATTTTTTTGTATATTTTTTAAATAATGTTTTGTATTCAAAAGTTTTTTTTCGAGCTATTGCTAAATTTTTAAGAATTTTAAACTTGTTAATAGTTTTTCTTTTTTTATTATTCCAAAAAATATTTCTTAAAATAAAATCCATCTTTTTTGTTTAATTTGTTAATATTTAAATTAGAATGAATATTCTGATTATTTGTTAAAACAAATTTTATTACGAGATCTTAATTACTACGTAGTATTCATTAAAAGGAGCATCATGCGCATGTAATATCACATTTTTATGAGCATTTGTTTCACTTAAAAAAGTAAAGAAAATTAATCTAGTAGAATAAAAAGCTGTAAAACAAGCTCCTATAGTACCTAACCAATAAGCAAAAAGTCCTATTTCATTAAAACTTGCATAAGCTATTTCTAAAATAACATCTTTTGAATAAAAGCCTCGGCGAGTGCCGTAATTTTAGGATGAGTTTGTAAAACATGGTCTGGATTAGCCAAACAAGGTGTGAAAAGCCAATAATTACTGTGAAATCTGATAAATTGAAACCTAAGCCTTGGCCACATGTAGTTGCAGTTCCCGCCGGAACAAGGCCTTCTCCTCCACTTGCTGCTCCCTGAACACGTTGGCGCACTTGGCCAGCGCCGCCGCGGCGTCCCGTCGGGCCTCATGGAAGAATGTCAGCGCTCTGTCGTCTGTGAGCATGGAGCTCGATGACGACTTGAGCACCTCGACGGGAGTGCCGCCGGTCGCCGCCGCGCTCACCACGATGGAATGCTTGTCCAGGACTTTGCAAATCATGGCTCTGCACATCGCCCCACCAACCAACGGGTTGGTTGACACGCGGACTGGGCTAGTACTACTACTACTACTACCAGGACTACTACTCGAACCACCCGCAATGTAGATTTTCACGACGGCGCCAATCCCAAATCGCAGCGAGTCCACGGCATGCATGAATTCCTTGAAGGCGTACGGAGCGTCCGTCATGGTAGAGGGGGACCATACGTGGGTGGGGCCTTGGATGGGGGACGGCGGCGGCGGTCGGGTGCAGGGCGGGAGGCCGTCGGCTTGGTAGTCGCCGCCGACGGACGGTTCGCTCCGGCCGAGCCCGTGGTGCACTTCGTACGGGTCAGACAGCGGCGCCAGCGTTTGCTTCTTCATGTCGTACTTGTATCGGCACACGAACACGATCTCGTCCGCGTCGATGGGGTGCTGGTTCAGGCGCAGAATGTTCTGTCGGTCCCGTAGGTCCAGCTCGGACACGACCTGGCACTTCCCCAGCACATGCTCGAGGGCGTTCGTGTCCTTCTCCACGGACTGAAACACTTCGTTCTCCAACACCCCGCCGTCCACCACGTCCAGCGCCTCCTTGGCCACGTCTTCAGGACGAAAGTACCAGATCCCTGTGAACAACTTCGGACGAGAGTCGGCCGCCACGGGATTGCCGTCGCTGCTGTGGAGAGTGCTCACGAGCGCAACGTACTCCTCGTCGTTGTGAGAGACCAGCACGCAGTCGCCAACCTCGAGTTTGCCTTTGCGAATCTCCAAGTCAATGTCCAACTCGACGGTGGCAAGGGTGGCGCCGCTCCGGGTGGTGGTTGGTTTGGACCTCTTGGGACTTCGGTAAGAGTTCTCCATGTACAATTGAGCCTCGTCGTACGTGACCACATTGTTGCGGGCTTCCCGAGGCAACGCCGCCCGTCGGCCTGCAGCCGAGGCTGCGCTGCCGTCTTCCAGTTCCATGGGTTAGTAAACCTTCTTAACTTAATTACGAATGAAATTAGAGAGGATATATCTCTACAATATGTATATAGATAGATACTAGTAGATAAAAGAGACAATATTCTAAAACCTCTGGCATCTTATAAAAACTATGGCATCTTATAAATACTCAATTAGGCTTTGCCTGATTTAGTATTCGAATTAGGCAATTTCGATGAGTATGTCACAGCACTTTCATCATGAGCAGCGACCGCGAGCAGACACTGCAGACACTCTGTCGACTGGACAAGTCCATCGCAGAGTTAGAGAGGGTCCGAGACAGAATCTTGACCAAGAAGGATGCATACCCAGACAACAGCGACAAAGCTCTGCGGCAAACCAAGCAGCTCAACGTCGTAGTGTCCGACCTCCGCGCGCTTCAAGCCGAGAAGGCCGCGGCATTCAAAGCCGACGTCTTTGTCGACGAACAGGTACCGTATATGGCAGCCTTTCACGGCAATCTGTCTGCTCTCCAGATGTTTGTGTCGTCCATGAGTCCAGTCACGAGTCACTACCTCGAGCACTCGGATCGTATTACCGGCAACACCCCGCTGATGGCCGCATGTGCGCGGGGACACGTCGACTGCGCCAAGATCCTAGTGGCCGTCGGCGCCGACGTGGACGCGCGCAACCTCCGCGGCTCCACACCCCTCCATTGCGCCTGCGAGAACGGCCAGGTCGAGGTCGTCGCGTTTCTTCTGGACGTGCCGTACCTGAGTCCGTACTCCGTCGACCGCCGCAACCAGTCGGCCCTTCAGGTGGCGCGGAATGCATGTCTGGACAACGACGCATGGGCTCGCTTCAAGGAATGCGCGAGGCTTCTGGAAGAGGTCCACCTTATAACTGGCATTCTATCATGCATGAACCAGCGCTGTGACTTGTAGCGCTGCTGCATCTTTCGCGGATGGGTGTACGAAAGCTCCAGCCCCGTCGGTATGTCCAAGCTCTTTGGGTCATCTCCTTGGAAATTGCGGTAATATATATATATATATTATTAGAAATATTAACGAGTTCTCTACAATAACTATCAACGTGGTAGCTACGCCATCGTACTGCGGACAGCGCCGTCGTCGTCGCATGTCGAGATCGGGCTTTTCAACGCCAAAGTGCACGCGCGGTGTCCCCCCGTGCCCACGTACGTGTTTCATATCATCCCGTCCAATACACTAATATATACATATATAATATATATATATATCACACATATGTAATACAAATTTATACAATATATCTATATAATACATATATAATACATATGTATATTATATAATGTATATTATATAATATATTATAAATATATTTTATATCTTATAATATATGATATATATATTATTATATAAATTTATATAATATAAATCTATATTTATATATATATATAAAATGTAGATCCATCTTGGTGTATGCATTGGGCGCCCCGTGCCACCGCAGCGCGGGCCGGCACCGACGCCATTCCAAAGAGTTTTCGTTTACGTTTCCAGCCAAGCGGGATGGTTTCGGGGTGGCGTCCGTGGAATTTGCCGCCGCCAGCGCCGACGGGTTCACGGCATGGATGAACTTTTTCGACGTGTATTCGGTACAAACCAGTCGAGATGAGAAATATTTACTAAATTGTCCAAATGAGCATTTATTATCTATTGATGGCTCAATGATATATATTTATGTATTTGTCCACATGAATATATTATACAAGTGCACTTGTCGTTTTGTAGACGTTGGCGACGCTTGACGACGCGTTGCTGGTTCGCGACGAGGATGTCACTAATTCGGTCAGTTTTGAGTATATTCTTCGTTCTGAATAGTGACCACTCGTAGGACACTGGCGATGTCACACATGAAGAAGAACCTTCTAAGACAACCGCGGCGTGGGGGCCACCGCCGTCGCACCACCATGCCCCACCGTCCCCGTCGGCGCCGAAATTGGTCGACGAGTCGCTAGAGGCGTCGAGTCCGCCGGCCGATGCGCCGTCCGCTCCGTCCGTCGCTCTGTCTCCGTCTGCCCAGGTGGCATTCGAAGTCGGGCACGGCGGGTTTGCTGGGCTGGACGAAGGAGGCAAGAAGAACACGAGCAAAAAACTGACCATCGACCCCCCTGACCACCCCCCATCCCACCATCTGCAAAACGTCGTCGCAGCCCCTCCCCCCCCCCCAACCACCACCACCACCTCCAAAGAAGAAGAAGAAAAAGAAGCGCGGCGGGTGTGCATCTTGTGCTGCGACGGACCTCAGAACGCCGTGTGCGTGCCGTGTGGCCACAATGCCATATGCATGCAATGCGCCGAGAACGTTCTTGGCTCCACGTGCCCCGTGTGCCGCCAGCACATTCGCGAACTGGTCCGGATTTACAAAGGGTAACAATGTACGAGTCGTCAAATATCCATATACCACGTAGTGTGGTCGAATCGATGCGATACTGGAGCCGTCGGCAGAATCAAATGGCTATAATATTAACTCGTTATATTACTTATATTATGTTTTTAATAATATAATAAATAACTATTTTTATAAATAATTATTTATACTCCAATTTGAAAAAATAAATGATAATCCATAAGGCGAAAGCTTACTATGATGGGAAAATTGACTTGTTAATGGAATTCACAAGGTGAGCCACCTTGCTCCTTTTTAATATCCAATCAGAGTCCATCACACCTTGTTTCTTACACACGATTGGCTATAACACTGACAGAAGAGGTTACAATTTTGAACTTTGACTTTTGTACTCTGGAGTAGAGCTTTGTGTGATGCTGTTCCAGAGACTTGTGCACTGATGAGTGCACTCCGACTATGTCCAATGTGGTTCTCCCCTTACAGCTAACATTATGTTGTGCGCTCGGTTGGGTCGCAATGTCGTGGTGGCTCTAGTGGGCCAACGCGGTGGCGCAAGAGGTCTTGGTAGCAC